CAATAAAGAGATTACCTATTTGTTACTTAAAAATATTTATCGCATCTTTAGGAAAAAAGTCAATATGAGAATTCAGAAAATGTAATTTTATTCTCATATTGCAACTCAGTTCACGAAAATTGCTGAGTATCTACAGGGTGTTTCAGAACTAAGGGATCAAACTTCTAGGGGTGATTCAGTGTAACAGTAGAAAACAGTTGACCCATATCGGGAAAAGTGTCACTACGGCACAACGGTCCTAAGACGCGTCAAAATTTACAAAGACGATGAATTGCTTAAATAGAATTTAATGCATTTAATTTTTGCCCTTTTGTACATAATATCATCATAACATTTGTTCAAAATGTCTTCCTCTAAGGTGAATACACCGATTTAAACGTCGCACATGATTTCGGCGGACTTGACTAAAAATTTGATACTCGTTTTGAGTGATTTCAAATGCTGCTGTAATCCATCCAATTAAGTCTTGCTCTGTTTCTACTGGAGTTTCGTAAACCAAAGACTTTACATGTCCCCACAGGAAAAAATCTAGCGACGATAAATCGGGTGACCTAGGAGGCCAAGAAACTGCTCCACCTCTGCCAATCCAAGGGTCCCAAACCGCTGAGCCAAATACGTACGTACTTGTACAGCAAAGTGAGCCGGCGCTCCATCATGCTGAAACCACATTTGCTGTCGAACGTTCAATGGAACATTTTCAAGAAGTTCTGGAAGAACTTCCTTCAAGAAACGCCGGTAAATAGGTCATTTTAACCGTTCCGGTAGAAGGTATGACCCAATCAAATAATCAACAATGCCTGCCCATACGTTGACAGACGGTGGTTGCTGATGTTTTCTAGGAAACATTGCATGGGGATCTTCTTTGTCCTAAACATGGCTATTCCTACTAAGCGCCGGATATGGGTCCCTGTACTAAAATGTTTTCTACTGTTACACTGAATAACCCCTACAAGTTTGATCCCTTAGTTCTGAAACACGCTGTATTTTCATAATGTGTTAGCGTCTGGCATCAACCTTCTGCTAAAGAGTCACTAAAAATGCCCTCTTTGATATCACATCCGAGGGTCTGTTTGAGTGGCGAAAATAATTTTTGACTAGAAAACAGATACATATTTTTTCAATATCTCCCAACAATAACAAATTAAGTCGGCTTGACCCTCTAGACCAATTTACAGACGTCAGCTTAGCTTTTTTCGTCGTTTCGATTATTAATAGTTGGTAATACTAGGAAAAATATAAAAAGCAATTTCTCAGAGATTGTACGTAATACGTACCTAAATTACTAATCAGTTTTTTAAGGGAAGAACCACTGCAGACCTGTCTTATTCTTAGGACCATAGAGTCTGTCGTTCCTACAATATTGTAGGACGTATTTATGGCCTCCTTTATTTTCATAATTTTCTACTGTTCCGTGTGAGCGTATAACATAACCTCAAAATATAGTGCTGACACGGAACAGTAGAAAACTATGAATATCAAGGAGGCCATAAAGGCGTCCTACAATTGTAGGAACGACTGACGATACGGCCCTTAGATATTTAGGGTTTGTCGCAAACGGTATGTTTTCACCTCGGATCATTAGAAGTTTACTGCCTTTCAATTTCCGCTTTCTGGTAAAAGGTACTACGCCCATTTCTTGCAGGTTGATTGACATTTACGCCACCAATTCGAGCCGCATATACTAGTGAATCGCAGTAGAGGATCGTGATTGATCTATTAAAAAAAACCTAACCAGGCCCAAACTATGAATCAACCATATAGATAGGGTAACTTTAAGACTGCACAGTTGATGACATGTATTCAAAACAGAGCTCTCCTTTTCGGTAAGGAACAAGTACAGAAATGACCACTATATCCGTCCCATATTAATGTGTTTTTACTTCCCACATCTACTGTCAAAGTATGCAATCGTAAAAATTTTCTAAAATGAGATATTGTTTTTAGGATGTTATATGGAATGTACATCACGAAGAACCATGTCACTGATTTTCGTCCCCTTGTTCGTCTGTCTGTCGCCTTGTCCGCCAATCCTCGGCCCGTTTAAACTTTGAAAGTAGTGCTCAGATTTTGATGAAATTTTCACGCAAGACTACTATTATGCTAAGGACTCAAAAATAATAATCTCTCATTTTATTCATCATTTATTGGTCTCTGCGCTTTTCGCACAATCAAACAACTCAACTCCAAATGAGGCATACAATCCATATATTTCCAACCACTACTATGTCCTCGGAATGTTATTTTCGAGGATTTCGGGATTCGAACCCGCAGCCCGTCTAGCCCATGTATCAGTAGCTCGACGCTCTGACACACCGACACGGGTATCATGTAAAAAACCTATAAAACGTCAAAAAAAACCTATAAGATGTCAACTTGCAGACTAGGTAGTTTTTAGGGCGCAAACAGTCATTCCACGTTTGCTCACTAGGATCGTTGTGAGCTTCCATCTATGGAGGAATCACTCAACTAAACTACGCATTATTGGTTGCATAGTTTTGTGAGGCTGAGTGATCCGGGTCTGTAGTTTTTCTCTCTGAGAAGAAAGTTGGTCGAATAACAAGATCGTATCTGGATGATTATGTGTATTGGTCTGCATGTGTATAAAATCAGTGATATTTGCTGTGTGAGAAAATCATTACTGAATATGCCGAATATGACGGGTTATTTTTATTTATGCTGTGCTTTCTGAAGAGAGGTTATGTTCAAAGTTATAAATTACGAAAACTGAGGAGAATTACGGGAAATCATCACGGTGCCCGCGTTGTGTGCAATTACTGTTAGCAACTATATGGCTTGTAATTCGACGGTGTACATAATTATTTCTTATCTCTCTCATTTTTGAAATTCAGCAAATTTGTATATGTAATTTCCAGAATGGATAAGAAAAAGTGGATGCGCAACTAACTTCTGGCTTTGAATCTCAATTAAGTGTATTTGAGACAAGAACCCAATGTAATTATCATCATCACATACAACTTACAGCTTAGACCTCCAGTAATGCCATCCCAGAAGCAGATTTTACATCACATCAGAGCCAAAGATTGATAACAAGCTTCATGACGTTTAGGCAACACCTACAACTAAGTGCTAGGTTAACATCTTGTTTATAAGATCCGTGACGTCATGAATCACCTGTTATATGTCACAGTTATCACCGCAAAATTATGGTATTTACCCAACTCGGAAGTAGTTTTACATTTCTGGTTGTTATCTAAAATGTGACAAGTTAGAATTTTGCCGGGTATTGGATATTTTTGTTGTACTTCAGCTTAATTTTTGGGAAACTTGACACAGGCTGACTTCAGTTGTAGGTTAAAGTGGAGCACCTTATAAAAAACTTGCAACAAAATCGCGGTTAAAACCACCGCGTTCAAGCGGTTCGAGTAACTGACGTCATTTCACGTTTGCTCACTAGGATCGTTGTGAACGTCCATCTAAGGAGGAATCACTCAACTAAACTACACGCATTCTTGGTTGCATATGTTTTGTGAGGCCAAATGGACCTTGTCTGTAGTTTTTATCTCTGAGAAGAAAGCTGGTTGAATAGTAAGATCGCATCTGGATGATTGTGTGTATTGGTCTGCATGTGTATAAAATCAGTGATATTTGCTGTGTGAGAAAATCATTACTGAATATGCTGCCAATGAAGTATACCTATTGGCTGTGCCCGATGGGTTATTTTTATGTTGTGCTTTCTGAAGAGAGGTTATGATCAAAGTTATGAATTACGAGAAACTGAGGAGAATTACGGGAAATCATCACCGCGCCCGCGTTGTTTGTAATAACTGTTAGCATGTATATGGCCTGTAATTCGGCAGTGTACAGTGAATATAATTATTTCTTATCTCTCTCACTTTTGAAATTCAGCAAATTTGTATATGTAATTTCCAGAATTGATAAGAAAAAGTGGATGCCCAACTAATTTCTAGCTTTGACTCTCAAGTGTATTTGAGACAAGAACCCAATGTAATTGTCATCAACACATACAACTTACAGCTTAGACCTCTAGTAATGCCATCTCAGAAGCAGATTTTACATCACATTAGAGTCAAGGATTGATAACAAGCCTCATGGCGTTTAGGCAACACGTACAAGTAAGCGCTAAGTCAACATCTTGGCGAAAAACCTACATAATGTCAAAAGAACCAGCATAAGGTGCAAAAAATTCGACATAATGTCACTTTTCAAGATACGTGATACCCGTGCCGGCCACCCCTCCACAACCCCTTGACATGACGTCTCGAATTTTTTATCCGTATTTTCCGGACAAACCTCGTATATGACAACTAGTATTCAGGCTAATAAAACCACATTTTTTTTGAAATGGTCTTTATTAATGTTTCAACTGCTTTGGCAACCTTCTCATTAATATACGAGTAGAACATATTAGAAATGTATTATCTGCTCTGATTTGTGTCACGCGACAATGTCGTATGTCGTATGGCGACGTCACCATGTTTCGTGACTATGGTCAACAGCGGGCGCTGAATGGCTGCTTGACATCTATACGACTATTAAGTCATTAAGTCTGACGTCTGGTGGCAGTACTAAAGATCAAAGGCGCCCGGTATGGTCTAAAAATTCCGCGGTGAGGAAATCGCGTGCATGAGTGGGCTCTTTGTCAGTATTTCATGTGCAGATTTCGAAAATGTGTCCACCGTACCGAATCGTTCTCTGTACGTAACTAACTGCGCTAAGTGGCAACATCTCTACATCTGCAGCTGCAATAGGGTTGTGATTTTTTTTAATTTCGATAGATTTGTGAAAAATCGACTTAGAGAGAGAAGAAATTTGTTTCTAAAATCTGAATTATTCTATCAGTCCACAAACTGCATGCTTTTATATAAAAAAAATCATAATATCAACAGGCCAACATTAACAATTTATCAGAATGAAAAATAAGATGATGGGTATAAAAATAACAAAAACTATCATCATTTGGCTTCAAAACTAAAGCTTTATTTTGAACTTTAAACAATAAAAGATTAAAAACAATGATTGCCGCAAATGTTCAGTTTTAGTGGCTAATAAGTATTACTCGATCTTGTGGTTTCAGCGGTCATTTTGAAATTTTTTTTTCTGGTGCATTGAATTCTTCTAGTCATGCAATCAATTTGATACTAATATTCAAAGGGGTTTATAAATAATATTTTGTAGCGACGGACATCTTTCTCAGAGTGTTTCAGTTTTTCATAGTGTATCAGTTTTTCATAGTGTATCCGCCATTGATACCGGGGATACATAAATGTATTGTCATCTGAACTAAAAAAAATCTTTTGAGTGTTCTACCATTTAGAGACATTTTTACTATCACCCACGGATTACTGCTTATACTCCTGAGAGGCAATGGTTTCCAAAAGCTATAAAAATATTTCACATACTTACACATAAATGGCGTCGTCTTTTATCGCTTTGTTCATGTTAGTGAACTGTGAACTTCGAGTTTTAGCATCTGTCGTACGTATGGCGCTGCTTACAGAATCGATTAAAATTGGTAATTTATAGAATCGGTCTATTAAAAGTCGATTACTATAATTAAGAAAATCGAGTGTGAAAAATCGATTATAAGAAAAAATAATCTATTAATGGATTAATCGTTTATTTTTTAACATCCCTAATACACATTTTTGAGATTTCCAATATATTTTTAGATATTGATGTACGACTGCCAAACTATCGGAATCCTGATCGGCAGGGGTATTTCGTACAAAGCTTAAAAAACGTCAAAAAAAAGGACAAAATGTCATCTTACAGAATAGGTATTTTTTAGTGTGCAACTAGTTCATTCTGCGCTTGCTCGACATGATCGCTGTGAGCGTCATCAAAAGCGTCCACCTATGGAGGAACGACTCAACGACACGACACGCTCAAGCATGCATTGTTGGTTGCAGAGAGCCAAGTAGTGTTTATCTCTTAGAAGATGTGCGGCAGGGGTATTACGTAACTTGAAAAGTGACATTATATCGTTTTGTTTTTCTCGACATTATGACGGTTTTCCTACAAGACGCCAACTTGGATCTAGCTGTCGTCCACCTCAGCCCACTAAGTCAACAAGTTGACATTTTATCGGTTTTTTTGACATTATATAGTGTTTTTACGTAATAACCCTGCCGAATACTAGTCAAGGTAAGTCAAGTGGAAGGAGTAAGCCTACGATTTGTTTGTCTCCAAAGTCTCAGTCTCTAGTCGGTCAGTGCACAAGTTGTATTGTCATAAATTAATTCTTTGATAGTTCTGTCATTAAATTCGGATTCTTAGAGTTATTTTTTAAAAGTGTAGATAATTGTGGTGCTGGACGACTCTAGGACTTGCGTAATTTGCAAAGAGTGACATAAGCCGAATGACGGTAAGTTTTATCATGTTGATACAACGTTGTCAGTTTGGTATGCAATAGTAGTCAAATCAGACAAAAGTTTGCACTAAAACTACTAAATTTTGGAGACAAACAATTCAATGTAAACACATGGGCTTCGCTCCCTCTAATATACTCGGCTTCGTTGTACACAACTGAGATATACAGGGTGGTCCATCCATGTGTGGACGGAATATTACTCATAAACAAATACATTTTGGAAAAATCTGTTTTTGGCATGTTATACATGACATTTGAGGGCACATGTCTAAAATATTGGCAGTTATACAGGGTGTCTCAATTTTGACCTACATATCAAAGTTGTGATTTTTTAAATGGAATGCCTCAAATTTTACTGCATATTTGGATAAGCTCATTCAAAAGAAGAAGATTGATATAACATACTATGGGGTTTTGGTAATTAGCTACTGAGATTTAAGGTGTTTTGTCCAGAAAAACCGTCCACTTCGGTAACCTCTTAATCCGCCATTTTGAAATTTGCAGGGCTGAATTTTGTATCAAAGAAAACTTACACACCTAAGCTTTTATCTTATTTGTTACTTTTTCGAAGTTTCATTTTTTCTCATACGAAACGCGAATTGTACTTTTTCTCAAAAATTGCAAATGCATCACCCTGTATATTTGTACAAGTTTGGATTTAATTTTTTATGAGATTTTTTTTGGTATAAGGTTTGATTCAGATAAACTCACTAGATTTTGAGTTATTAAACTTCTAAAAGAAAAACATCAAAATTAAGGAAAAAAATCACATCATTCATGGAAACAAGAGATAAACGGTGGGATAGTTCCATATTGCCACTAAGAGTACAGATTTGACGTAAAAACTAATAACAATCAGAACAGTATTCAGCTTCAAGCGTAATAGAGAAAGACTACTATAACAACAACATATACAAACAACTATCACTACCCAAGACCTAATCTACAAAAACTGCTCGAAAATATTTCCACCATGTTGAATACACAGCCGTAGTCTTTGGATAAATGACCGTTGCACATCCCTCAGCATGTGTTCCTTTATGTTCAGAAAATCATCCTTAATCCTTTCCTTTATATTTTCCGGGGTAGATGGTGGATATCTATAAACCTCTTGCTTAACGTAGCCCCATAGAAAGAAGTCTATCGGTGTCATATCTGGTGATCTAGAAGGCCAAGATATAGGCCAAGATATAAGGCGAGATGCTAGGAAACTATTTCATTGGGCTTCATTTCTTCTTTAGAAAAATTCATTTTCAAACACGTTTTTAATAATAATGCTCACAAAGCTAATTTTGCCAGCTTGTAACTAATCAACAATTTATTTGTTTCCAAGGATGATACGATATTTTAGGGAATTGAGCCGTTCCATAAAAGACGTGCTAATAACCGAAAAAATAGCCGTAAAAACTCTTATGGGTCTAGTATCAAAAAAAACTTATGAAAAATTGAATCCAAACTTGCACAAATATAAATTTTTGAGAAAAACTACAATGTGCGTTTTTGACCACCCTGAATGAGCAAAAATTAAAATTCGAAAAAGTAACAAATAAGATAAAAGCTGAGGCGTGTAAGTTTTTTTTTGGTACAAAATTCAGCACTACAAATTTCAAAATGGCGGTCTGAGGGGTTGCCGAATTACATCCCCTTGTCACCGACCCTGCTGCTGGTGCATAACCTTCAACTGTCTCCTCAAAATCTTTCCACTAGGCGTTTTTGGAATAGCGTCGACCACCTCAATGCCTCCCGACAGCCTTTTGTAGTTGGCCACCTTGCTAGCTACAAACTTATCTAGCTCTTCCGGTACCAAGGAGGTGTCTTTCTTTGGTACTACGTACGCCCTTGGTACTTCGCCGTGGTTGGGATGCGGGATTCCGATGACAGCTGCTTCTTCCACTGCCGGAAAGGCTCTTATTAGCTCTTCTAGCTCTGCGGGGGCTACTTGGAATCCTTTCACCTTCAACGAAATAGGTACTTAAGTATAACAAACACCAATGTTGATCGTGGAACAGTGATATTTGCTGATGACTTAAAATTGTACTTTGGATTCAACAGCATTACTGATAAGAGATTATTAGCTTCATTAATTACTGGTTGTGGGTATCTATAGTGTCAACTATCAAATCTCGAAAATTGGTGTTAGTTGATTGAACGGCATCTGAGTAACTGAATAATGTATTGTCGAAAGCAATAAAGATCAATTAATACTTATAACCTTGGAGGAAGTGTACATAAATTATCTGTATTATCATGGTATAAACGGTTCGTGACTTGGATGTGACGTTAGACAGCAGGATGAGTTTTGAATGTCACATCTCTTAAATAATCAATAGCGTTAATAGAGCTCTAGGATTTATTGTTAGAAATTGTGAGCTTATTGAACATTCGTTCCATTTCAAATATGAGTCGCTAATTTGGAGTCCTTATACTACAACTGCTATATTAATCTAACTGAGCATGTTAAAAAGAAATTTCTCATATATACGGATTTTAAGACTGATTGAGTTTATCTTCACCGAGGGTCGGACTATTAAATCGTCTTGGAAAGATACCAAATTGCCTCTTTGAGTGAAGGAAGAAAACGAAACTCCGTGATTTTCCTGTATAAACTCAAGCATGGTAATGAAGTATCTTTAGACTTACTGTCGCAGCTCCAATTTGTAGCTCTCTAGGAGATTTTCTAGATACAATGCGTTATTTTTTGTACCCGAGCAAACACAAACATGGCTTTAAAATCTCCTATAAGAGCTGTAATAACAAATTATCAATATATATTATATAAAGTATGTTTTTGTTTTCTTCCTGAACACAAGGAAGTCCTTCCGCAGCATCTTAAATAACTATGCATGAATTTAAGCATCTTAGTATTATTTGTTTCGCTGATTTTCATTTTTTTGTCCTATAGATGGAAATGTATTACTAGATATACTGTTGTGCAATAAATCCTATTATTATAATTATTATTATCATTATTATTATTATCATTATTAGAAATGAATTTGTAATCGCATAAAGAGCGCTGGGCACGGAGATTGAGTGATAGAGTCTTTCAGCAGTCTTTGGTCTTCACCCATAATGCTGGTCAAGAAAAAGAGGACAGGACAAGTTTCTGTGTAGACTACCGCGGACAAAAATGACAGCTACCTATTATTTTGAATGACCGTATTTTGGGAACTGCGCTTGGGTCACTTTAACAGGATTGAGACAATTTTCCACCATAGATTTGAATAGAAGAAAAAAAATCATTTAGTTGTTAATAAATGGACCTAAACATTTAAAAATAGTATTTTCCGTTTGAAAATATTGTGTTTTGCTTTTTGACCTTTAAATAATATCGAAGTTTAAAAATAAAAGCGTGTTACGCCTTTTTTCCCGCTTGCTGTTAAAGCGTAAGACGCTGTTATTTAAAAAACTCGAGACGAAGGAGCTTCAATATCGCTTGAATGTTAAGAAGTACAAAATGGCATATTTCCAATCGGAAAAAGTTATTTTTAAATGTTTACTTCGTTTTATTAACAGCTAAATGGGAGATTCTTATTAAAAATGTCTTCTTTTTATTTATTTTTCACCTTTCAGTATTTATGTCAATGAATTAGTTTAATAATTTCTATCAACTTATATGTTTTTGATTATAAAACTTCTTACTTATTTATATAAGATTTCGATCAGTAATCATGTATTACGTAAATTCGGGAGAGATACACATGTCTACCTCCTTTTTTAGACAGAAGCAGCGCGCAGGTAGACGCCGAAATGCCAGGGCACCGAAATTCCGTTTTTTGTATTTATTTTTTCTCATACAGTTGTGTGGGGTGGGTCTGAATGGGTGAATGTACCATATACATAGAAGGCGGGTTTGCACACAACATGCATCTGACAAAAGCAGCATGTACTACGGTGTCTGCGTCCTCAAAGGATGTATAGTATTAGCTCATAGGCAGAGCGACAGAAGTAATAATAATAACCTTAATTTATTTCAGTGGACAGCCAGAGTATGGGAAACGTTGCAAATACAAATCTAAAGCATATACAGACATATTAAGAAACAGACAAATTAAAATAGGTATCACATATCCAAGAATTCCCTTATATCAAAATACAATCGATAGCAATGGTATTTGGATTTTTTTACACCGGAGCAGTCGCGCAGGCTGAATTTTGAACTCCAGGTCACCGTGGCTGCTATGAGGAGCTTAAAGAAACTTTGAAAAAGGAGCGGCCGTATCTGCCAGTTCTGGATGTACGAAGTTCGATACTGTTAGAATGGGAGGCCGAAGTCAGACGGGTCTGTTTGGCAGGCACATCCTTCTTCAATTTTCGAAGAAATAAAGCGTACCTATGTTCTAGCGGACACTTATGTAAAATAAAATTTGATATCTTAAAAATCTTCAAAATTCTACAAAAATTTTAAGCTGAAACTTTCAGATGGTATCACGAACATTCCGTTTGTTTATTTTTCGCACATATTACCTTGTGATCATCGGTGATTATTCAATCTTACCTTAATAAGTTCCTTGAGTCTATCTGTTACGAATAAAAATCCATCCTCATTGTACCGAACTATGTCGCCAGTTCTAAGCCAACCATCCAACATGGTCTCTTGAGTTTCCTTTGGTTTGTTGTGGTACCCTTTCATTATCTGTGGTCCTTTCAGTAGCAGTTCTCCCTGCTCATTGGGCCCTAGAGGCGGTCCTAGAAATATTTTGTTACATTGTTAGATACACGCCTTGAAAATATTTGAGAAAATACTACTACTAAATATAACTGTCAAACCTCAGCTCCCTGTCTATGATAACCCCTCAGGTAGATATTATTTAAATTTTATTAAAACTAATTACTCGGTGTCAAAGGACCAGGGTCCATAAGCAATTTTCCAGCAATGTTTAAAGCACACAGCACAGACAAAAGGAGAAAATGCTTAAGAGTAATAGAAAAAAAAAACGGATTTTTAAAGAATAGAATTTTAAAATGAAATAATACAAGAAAGTCTGGAATCTAGAAGACAAGTTTTATGAGCAAATTGACATAACGTGACGAATGTTGACACTTCCTCAGGAATTATACCATTGGGGAGATGTTAACTGATCTTGGAGCCCAATTCGAATTGTCGACTCCGTAAATAACATTTTTACCGACATCATTTTTATCTCAATTTAGTTAAATATTGTACAGAGCGACCTTACTAAAAACACCTGCTCAAATGCTCAGATGGCTGTTTGCAAACATTTTTATCAAACCTTAGATTATCTGGCAATGGAAGATGTAAAATATATGTAGGGCACGCCATAAGTTTTGTGAAAAAACTAGGTGTATTTATTGTTTTTCAAAAACAGAGCTCCCGTTGATTCCTGGAGGCACCCACTAATCATGTGAGGCATGCAAAGGCAAGGTTGAGGATAATATTATTTAATTAATATTGTAATGGGGTGCCATAAATTTCTTCATATTCCATACACTGTTTCCAATATCAGCTTCACGGTGTTTTCAGAATAGGAGAGGCTAAACCCTTTCATAAGAATATTTTAGGATTTTACCTCATTTATATTCAAACCTAAATATCTCAAAAACGAGTGATCTGACAAAAATTCCATAAGAGATAAAATTTATGAAAATTAGTGGAATTTTATTTAACTCTGTGTGTTTATTGCTGATGATGTGCCCACTGAACGTCCAAAATCTTAACTCAGTATCTTTACCCGCTTCATAGATTTTTTTTAAATCCGTAAATAAGGTTTCATCACCCTGTATCTCGATAAAGGAGCATCTTTGGTCTCATATTTATAGGGACTTTTTCGTGATTTTTGGATGTAGTTTCTACCCTAGAAATATTGGCACGATTTTCTAAAACAACCTGTAGATTTTGTTCATCCGACCACAGACGGCCAATCATTAACAGCTGTTTCGTGATGTTTGTTAACTTCTCAGCATAGTGTAGGCATAGTCCTAATACCCCCACACCACCCCTGTACAACCCCTCACATCTCAATTTTTTTACACCTACAAATTTTTACAAAAATGATTAGGATCTTCTGAAATATCAGAAAACGAAGTTTGAGCGATTTTTACTGGACCGTTTATATAAAACTTCAAAGTTTTTTGATCCTGGCATAGTGGAACATTGTGTAAAGATTTCATCAAAATCCGAGCGGTACTTCGCGGTTCAAGATAAACAGACAAACAGACCGATGGATATTCAGACAGACGGACATAAGTGACATGGTTTTGGTGATGTACGTGTCATAAATAACATCCAAAAAACAATATCTCATTTTAGAAAAATTTTAAGGAGGGTCTTGTATGTAACATTTTTTCCTCGAGGGCTTCATTAAATAGATGAAGTTTAAAAATAAAAATAATTTTTTTTAATATCTTCAAAACCGTCAACTGGAATGAACTAAAATTTGGTATGTGGATTGTTCACATCAAAAAGTATTTACTTAGATTAACATGTACCAGTGGCGGAGATACAGGGGATCAGTTGCATTATTTTCCAAATAAAAATTGTACGCCACTGGTTTTTTCGAAACGTGCAATTTTTCGAATTTGACCTTCAATTTGCGACAAATAATTACTTTTTTGTTTTTTCTAGAGTGCATTGTTTTCGTAAAAATAAAAAAAAAACAAATTAGTAAAAGTTGGCGTCTGTTTAGGAAATGTACGTTGATACTCCCGAAAAGCCGCTAAGGCATTTACATTACAGAACCCGTACACAAAAATAATATCGGCGTACTTATCATTGCTAAATTCCATTTCACAGCACTCAAAAATGGGAAAAAGACTTAAAAAATGGTTGTAGTAACGATCAAAACCATATAACAAATAACTTTGACAAACTATGTTCCAAAAAACGTCAAGTTGGTTTCAAGGCCTCCTATTTCGTTTTGAAACTAATTGTATCTCGGTTCTTTATGAATGATCTAATTCCTTTTATTTTTATTTTTACGAAAACAGTGCACTCTAGGAAAAAACACAGGACTCATTGTTTGTAGCAAATTGAAGGTAAAATTGGAAAAATAACGCGTTTCGAAAAAAAAACAGTGGTGTACTATTTTTATTTGAAAAAATAATGCCACTAATCCCGTGTATCTCCGCCACTGGTGCACGTAAAATTTAAGTACAGACTTTTGAAGATGGATAATACTTGTGTAAATCCACATGCCACATTTTAGTTCATTTCAGTTGACGGTTTTGAAGATATTAAAAAAATTGTTTCTTATTTTTAAACTTTTTCTTTTTATTTTATTTCGAGGAAAAAATGTTAGATAGAGACCTCCCTTAAAATTTGGTCCTGTGTATGAATTTTTGGTGAATCACCCTGTATAAGTCAGCTTCAAGGTACTTTGTTAATGTTAATGTAAGTACTATATAAGTTCTAAAAGATTGAAATTTCGAATTACTTTGACAGTATATTACTTAATAATTATGGGGAAAACCCGAAAAACTTTTATGTACGTACATTGTTTTAGCAGAAAATAGGGTTACTGGTATACGTATAACTTGAGCCAAATAACCATTTTAATCATATTTCTCATGTTTGCACTTAAATATTGAATTTCGGGAAACGCGGATAATGCCTGTAACCTTATCTTTGTAGGTATCGATATTTTGGTGCACATATCACATAAATATGGAAACAAAAAAAATCAAGGTTACTGTTACTGTTTAAAGCAGCGTTCCCACGAGTCGATTTTAGTAGAACGATTTTTATTGATCAACAAAAATTGAGTAAAAATATACCTGTGAACCGCGTTTTCGATTTTAGTTGATCAATTTTAGTTGATCCGAAAAAGTTTGTTCCTTTCAAAACTTATCGATCAATTTAATGCGTCATAGGTGATTTTCAGACAAGTGGCAACGGATTTGAAGCGTGTGAACTGTAGTCAGTCGAGTTTCGCATTGAATAAAGTTGATTTTGTGGCTCGTGTGCTTGTTGTGTGTGGTAAAAAAGACAAAAAATGAGCATGAAAGTATTGTGCTACATTTTTTGCATTTATATCAACAGCATGACTGTTTATGGAATACCCTGAGAGTTATCGAAACAAGGATGCTCGAGACAACGCTTTAACTATCATCGCAAAAGATAGATCTTCTCATAATGGTACCTTGTTTTTGTATTTTGCTTTTTATCTTTAGAAGAAGTCTTTGAAATTGTTCGGTTATTCTTAAATGATTTTTGTAGGCATCCTTGTCCTTGAGCAGGGTTCCTGAAACGCCCAATTTATTTCTTCGCAATATCCAAGTTCTGACCCAAAACCGACTTTTTTTAGATTTTCTATCAAATTTCGCCAAAATGTCTCTGATTTCTTCATTTAATAATTCGTAAGTAGCTGCTATGCCTGCTTGGACAACTTCGTTGGCAGCCATTTTAAAAACAACTAGCGCATCAGTTTTTATTATGTGTTTAAACAAACATTCGTTTCGATTTAAGTTGATCAACAAAAATCGACTCGTGGGAACCATGCTTTAGAAATGATCCATTCAAATCCCCTCCATCGAGTAATACTTGCAAAAACCACGCAAGTCGCATACTTTTCATTTAAAGGAGAAGGAATGTAACTATACACATCTACCTTTAAAACCATTTTGAAAAATAGACCTTAGTGTTTTTTGAAATGGCCGGTTTCTGATTGGAAGCCATCAAAGCCTACTCATGTATGTACCCACTATGCTGTTTACAGTGTTTGCGCTAACCAACATTTATCCCGAATCCATCCAAATTCAGCGTATACCAAACAGCGCGTATGAAATTTCCACGAACTAATTATATTAGCGCACAAGAGTGGGAATCTCAATTTATCAGCGATTGTCGAGCTGGAACAAGTAATATTTGATTACGTTGCTCGTGTTATAGACAAGGCAGGAAATCTGAAAAGACGCCTAGCAACTGCCAATGAATAGATTTTCCAAGTGTTCATGTACAGGGTCCGCCAGTGAAACGATAAGACTTTGTAAGAAGTTTATTGTTAAAGAATATTATTTTTAATAAGTTTTAATACATCAGCGGAAATAAGGGAGCTAGCTATTTGGTTATAACAATGCCCAAAAATTATCTCTTGAATACAACATCTACTATCAGGTAACCCAATAAGTTCGTGCGGTTGCGCACATTGGATGTTGTTGATCGATAGCGATTGTTTGTTACCTGTTGTCACTTTATCCTTCTTTTATCATAACCCGCAGAAATGTTCAGTGTGAGTCCTGAAACTATTCGTTTACATCTTCATCAGCTAGGAAAGACGTGAAAGTTAAGCAAATGGGTCCCACATGAACTGACAAATGATAACAAATCAAGTCATCTTACCATTTGTTCAGCAAACATTTCACGCAACGCTAATGAACCAATTCTTAATCGGTTATTAACCTGCGACGAAAAATGGATCTTGTATTCGAATTCTAAGCGTTCGTACCATTGGTTGTCACCTACTGATTCGGTACCACACACGCCCAAGGCTTCCTTGCACCCAAACAAGGTTTTGTTGTGTGTTTGGTGGGCAGCAACTGGAATTGTCCATTATGAGTTTTTGGAAGGGGGTCAAACCATCACTGCTAACTTGTATTGTGAGCAGCTTCAACGAGTACAAACACCACTCATTTGATCAATCGCAAGAAAGTGATATTCTTGCAGGATAACGGCAAGCCCCATACCGCAAAATTGACCCGAGAAAAAATTTCTGAACTCGGCTGGGAAACGTTACCACACCCGCCATATTCGCCCAGTGATTATCACATTTTTTTGTCTCTTGACAACTGTATGAGGCACCGACAGTTCACAACTCGAGATGGTGTAATAAATGCAGTCCGCCAATTTTTTGGCTCCAAATCCAGGGAGTTCTACAATACCTGCATACAAAAATTGGCTCCACGTTGGCAAATAGTGTCTTATTGTTTCTCAATAAAAATGTATATGTTTCTACTAAAAACCGCACGAACTTATCTGGTTACTTGATAAATGTCCTCCGCCGACATTTATGCAAGCATTTATGCATGTAAGATTTGTACCCTGCATAATCATATATATATTTTAAAGAAATCGTTTTTTTTTAAGTTTATTCTATAGCTGGGGGTGCTGCTGCTGATATTGTATAGAACATATTATAATTTAGTGATAACTAAATAGAATTATGTCGCTGCGAAATAAGAAAAATAGAAAAATAACAATATAATAAACTTACATTTTTGAAAATGTACAAAGCAATGGAAATAATGTTCATTGAATATGAGCATACACCTAGACACCACCTTACAAATGTTAAGTAATTTAAACAAACGTACATACTAAAGCAACATTTGCAACTTAAATTGTGATTTTCAGGTCGATAACCTCCATATTTCTCTAGCAAATCAAAACAACATGCGTTGCGAAAATCTTCTTTATTATAATCGTATCGGTCACAACGGTGACATTCTGTACAATGCCTTTATATATTTGAATATATTTCATTTATCAGCATTTAAGATAAAATTTGTTTCACGAACATCTGCGGGATTAACAGCAACATTGACGCTGTTCATCACTACTTGCAATCCAAATGTCCCGCCATGCTTTTCTTGGCGGAGACAAAAATCTCAGAGTCTGCACCGATTAACCATCTTGGCTTCCCAAATTACGAGGTGCACTCCAATCTGAGAAAGAACAGCAGTATTTTCTGCTCCAGAGATGTCTTTGGAAGTAGATCGGAATGACATTCTGTGGCTTCGCCTCAACTCCAAACCTTCCCTAAATTTGTTTGTTGCCTTTATCGCTCTCCTTAAGACCATAACTGGGATGGCTTACTTGAATACCTCGCCGTCAAGATCGACTTACTGAACGACAGGCAGTATGGTTTCTGGCACCAATGATCCACAGGGGACCTCCTAGCTTACGTCACGCAATTGTGGAGTAAACTCATCCACTCTTATGGTGCTCTTGACATGATGAAAGCACTCGATCACTTGTGGCACGCTGCTCTCTTAAGCAAACTTCCAACCTATGGACTCCCAAAAAAGTTTTTGGCTGCAAGATATACATCGTTATTGACGGATTCTCCGCTTCATCCCACAACAACGCGGGTGTTCCTCAAGGATCGTCTTGGCTCCGACACTGTTCCTCTTACATATCAACCACCTCCTTTTCTGCACGATCAACCCAATCCACAGTTTTGCTGATGACAGCACTCTACATGCAGGAATTCAGAGTGACAAGCCGATCTCTGCCGCTGAGCTGGAAAAAAGTAGGCTAGCGACAACTTCATCTCTGACGAGACACCTGGAGGTTATCACTGCTTGGGGACGCAATAATCTTATACAGTTTAATGCTTCCAAAACACAGTACTGTACCTTGACGAACAAAAAGCGTCCTAGTGCTCATCCGGTTTCGATGGAGGACCGAGTTCTGCCAAAGAGCCATTCATTTCAGCTGGTCGGAGTCCAGATAACCGAGGACTTGATCTGGCACGAACACATCTCGTCAAAAGTGACTGCTGCTGGGACTATTTGTTTAGGGCTAAGAAGTACTTTTCTTTACATGATCTTATCGCTCTATACAAGGCCCAGATAAGGCCTAGTTTCGCGTATTGCTCACACGTTGGGGGTGCTGCCGTCCCGACTACATTACTTATGCTCGATGCTGTCCAGAGTAGGGTTGTCCGACTGATCGATGACTCTTCTCTAACAGACAGTATCGGGACCCCTTCGCACCGGCGCGCCATCGGCGATCTAGCTCTCTTCTACTGCTACACCAACGGGCTTTTCTCCTCAGAGCTCTCTTCCATGATGCGGCCGCACGTTGTGCCTGCCAGACAGACCCGCCTGACTTTGGTCTCCCCTCAAACTTTGTACATCCAGAACAAGCCGATACGACCGCTCCTTTGTCCCGAGGGTGTCGAGATTGTGGAACAATCTACAAAAGGAAGCTTTTCCCAGAACTAACCTTAGGCAGTTCAAAAATCGGATCAACAAAATTTCTTTAAGATCATCATAGCAGCCACGGTGTCCCGGCATTTAGACTTTTGCCTGCGCGGCTGCTTCGGTATATAAAAAAATCTGTCTTCCAGGTCCCACTTCGTTTTATAAGCCAGCATGAGGCTATGTAAGGACCGTAACGAAACACAAAAATGAACTCAGAAATTAACCTTGTAAAGAGTTAGAGTGATTGGTTCCGCTTTTGTGTCATAAAAGGCGTTAGTATCTGTCAGATTCATGTTTGGGACGCCGAAATACACTATATGGTAGAATATCTTAATCAATGATGCTATTTTTTCAAGATTTAGTGGTCTGAATAGTTCTTAGGCGTCTTTTCAGATTTAGTGCCCTGTCTAATGTACCTGTGGGATCGTCTAGGCTTATAACTTTGGCCCGAGTGTTCGGCAGCAGTTTCCCGATGGATCCTGTAACAGGCTGGGAAGTTTCTTCGGCATACTTCTTGGGGAATAACGTAACTAATGGGGAAGTTTCCGTTAGGCCGTAACCTGAAAAGTGGATTATAATTCATAGAAGCTGAGCATTCTCACATTTTGCATGAAAGGAAAATATATATACACACTACGAATAGTAGGGTCACTCTGCAGACAAACGAGTTTCTCGTACGTCAACGCCATTAGTAGGCAATTTTAACAAAATTGAAACGTGTGAGAGTGTCATCATGTAGTGGGTGATTTTTTTGCTAGTATCTTTTTGGCAACACTGTTTTTGACAGATGACGCGTGAATCGTGTCTTGTGTCATTGTCAAACTTGTTCAGTTTGGTCTATAATTTAACCATGAATCGACTTCCGAACGAACAACGCTTGCAAATTATTGAATTTTACTATCAAAATTCATGCTCGGTTAAGAGAGTGCATCGAGCACTGCTTCCAATTTATGGGCAATTTGGTCGGCCTACTGAGGGAGCTATTCGGAAGCTTGTGATTAAATTTCGAACCCAGTTTACATTATTGGACATTAAACCACCAACACGCAGACGTAGAGTGAGGACTGAAGAAAATATTGCGGCTGTATCCGCCAGTGTTAGTGATGACCGTGAAATGTCGATTCGCCGCCGTTCGCAGCAATTGGGCCTCTGTTACTCCACTACGTGGAAAATTTTGCGACAGGATTTGGATGTAAAACCTTATAAGATACAGCTGGTGCAGGAATTGAAGCCACACGACCTCCCACAACGTTTCCAATTTGGTGAATGGGCGCTGGCAAAGTTGGAGGAAGATCCACATTTTTATAGAAAAATTGTGTTCAGCGACGTTCAGCTCATTTCTGGTTGAATGGGTAAGTTAACAATCAAAATTGCCGCATCTGGAGTGAAGACCAGCCAGAAGCATTCACAATGGCCGGAAGGTAACTGTGAATGACGAGCGCTACCGTGCGATGATAACAAACTTTCTTTTGCCCAAAATGGAAGAGCTGGACTTGGCTGACATGTGGTTTCCACAAGACGGTGCCACATGCCACACCGCACACGAAACAATGGCCCTATTGAGAGGCGAGTTCGGGGAACAGTTTATCTCACGTTTGGGGCCCGTCAATTGGCCGCCTAGATCGTGTCATTTAACGCCGTTGGACTATTTCTTGTGGGACCATGTTAAGGCTAATGTCTACAGGGGTAAACCAGCAACGATTGACGCACTGGAAACCAATATTGAAGCATTTATTCGTGAGATTTGTATCTATCAAATGAAAAAACTCAATAACTGAAAACGGAAACGAGTGAAGTAACAAATGAAAATCAACGAATATGCGATGAATTTTTTTACAAATGTGTGGGAAAATTAGCAATTAATATAAAAAGCGATTCTAATAAATTCAAGTTACATGGAAAAAGATTAGTAAGCTCATTTTTTAACACTATTATGTCCCTGAAAAATAAGAAAAGCCCAGGATCTGATCAGATAAGAGCTGAACATCTGAAGATGATGGCCAAACAAATATTAGAACCATTTGCTTATGTTATAAATAAATGTCTACGGTCTGAAATATTTGCCTTAGCTTTTAAATAAGCTGTTATCATTAAAATCTATAAATCAGGCGATATATGGAGGTTACGAATTATCCACCAATATCACTCATATCGACTTTGGCTAAGGCCCGTATCGTCAGTCGTCCTTACAATTGTAGGGCGCGTTTATGGCCTCCTTGATTGCCATACTCCTTTCTCTCCTTCAAAAATTTTCTAGATTACACGTGTCCCGTGTCAGCGTCAGCGCTCTCCTATTGTGAAGATATGTTTTCTTTTTAAATTTTAGGAAATTTCAGGCTGATAAAACATGATATAACTCAAAAGCAAGCACAATTTGATGCAAATAGATGTTTGTGACATAACCTTAAAATAGAGTTCTGATACGGAGAAGTAGAAAACTATGACAATCAAGGAGGCCATAAAGGCGCCCTACAATTGTAGGGACGACTGACGATATGGGCCTAAGGTATTCGAAAAATTACTCTCTAGTAAGATGATAATTTTCCTTGATAAATTCAAAATTCTAGGTCCAAACCAATAAGGTTTTGTAAAATCTACCACATATGGTATACTAAGTTTTCTGAATCAAATCACCCAAAACCTTGACGAGAAAATTCCATCTATTTGTGTATTTGTTGATCTGAAAAAGACATTCGATACAGTTAATCATAGTTTACTGTTAAATATTTTAGACAAACTAGGTTTTCGTGGTTAAATATATTCTTTGATGCAAAGTTATCTATAAAAAAGGCCCCAAGTAGTGAAACTATCAAAATCATATATTAAGGAAATGTTTGTCAAATGGGGTGTACCTCAGGGTATAGTGTTAGGCCCTCTTTTATTTAATATCTATTTGAATGATATATTCAATATTAAATGTGTAGGTAAAATAGTTAGTTTTGCTGATGATGTAAAGATGATAATTGAAAATGACTTTTATAAAATCATTCATTTTTTCAACACTAGAAAATTAACAGTGAACTTTGGAAAAACAATGTTCTACCATTTATATCATACGCAGGACATCTACCTAATTATTCAAATATTTCCTTCATAATGAACAATACAAATTTGAAAATTGAGTGAACAATATCAAATATTTATTTGTTACATAAAAAATGGAATTCCGAACATGCAACAGAGTAAACTGGAGTGAGGCGAGTATGTCTGAGTCTGAGCGTTAATCGAACGCGACTATTATACATATAGTAATTGGCAAAGAACATTGAGAGCATACGAAACTCAAAATTGAGCGCAATATAAACATGTTTTGGCATACCTATCTACCCGCCAAATTGGATCCGTCTTTCTGATTATTGGAGCATCGATACTAAATACATTATTAGCGACCCTTAAAACCTATAGAGTTCAAATTCGTGGGCAATTGTAACATATTTTGCAAATATGCCCGCTATTTTGGAATCGCAATTTTGACTGATATCTAATTCGTTACCAGCGACCTCAAAAGCAACTGAAATTCGAATTTTACATTTACAATTCAAATTTTTTTTTTTCAAATACGTCAGCGATGGCGGATCCATCATCTTGACTTTTGACAAACGAATATCATATTCATTTTCCGTGACGTCGAAAACATGTAGATGAAGTCTTGCTAGGTCATGCTGATTTATGAACTTTTGTGCGTTGTTTAGATAGTCCACACGACGCTGGCGTGAACGTTTTGACGATCATTGACTGAGTCACCGTAACCTGCATTTCGCTAGCATGGTTTGGGAATTGCGGATTTGTAGGTTTTACGAAGGATACTTTTGGGACAAGATGTGATGGAGGAAACATAAGTATAAAGATCGCATTTAGTTACTTATCTTGACAACAATGGGAGTGTGTTTAGACTGCGGTTATACTCCGTGGTAGTAGGCATCACTCGGGTGGCGAGTGGCAGGCGACAGGCTACACATGACGGGTGTCAATCTATTTAGGTATATTTTCTGCAGTGTCGAGTATTGGCTACGGGCTGCCGACTGAATAAAGGTTATACTCGGAATATCCCTACTGCGAATATTGCCTTGCGAGGTTGCCTGACGAGCCAGAAATAATCATGCAACCTATTCAAATGGCTTTGACTCAATCCTGGAGCTATTCTGTTGTTTTACTAAAGGATTCATCAAGTCAAGGAGCTTGATATTTTTATACACTACACTACTGGACTTGAACGTCAATGCTTGACTCGAATTGATTCTTTTAATTGTCATACTTGAGTTCAACCATTTTCAAATTACTTGACACTTGATGGCATATTATATATTTGTTCTACTAAAGATTACCTTTAGTGATATTTATTTGTACAACCGATGAGCCGAATTTTGTATTTCAGTGCGAATAATCAGTGGTGAGAGTGGTGAAAAAGTCATGAAAATATATTCTCAAATGTAGTTTCAATAGCAATAGCTTTTTGTCGACACCTGCAACATCAGCTCCTATTGACAGGAACTTTCTATGACTGCACTGACCGTTAGGAAACCCCGTTAAACCACTGTGTCCTAACATGCGGTTAGGGAATGGAATTTAGAATTTTTTATTTTTTTTATCAGCTGATGAATCTTCTTCCTATTTGAGTTTAAAGTTTTGTCCTCGTATTGTTTGTTTTGTGACATATTACGACATATTATTTTGTTCAATATGTATTGTTTTCTCTGTAACTTGTGACAGTCTTTCCATTATGTATTTATAGTCTATTCGTGTTGTATTATAAAAATTATCAAATAATATCAAGACTACATACATTTTCAAGTAGTTGACGTAAAAACTGCTTGACCTGATTTAATTGCTAATATCTAGCTTTTGGTACGGATACCGTTGCTTAAGTCCACCCTGTATGTAAGCAAATGGATAATTGATTTTCCGCAGAATTCTAGTTATTCCATCTAACTTTTCACAATTTTCTATGCGTAATACTAAAATGATAAATAAATACTAGAAGGGCTGCCGATTTTGCATTCGTTAACATACATCGGATATTTTGTGGCGAGGCACATACTCATAATCTATTCAGAAAATTTCGCCTCACTCCTCTACTAATTGCTTTCTTCCTGTCATGTTGAGCTTAAGAGCTGAATGTATAAAATGACATTTTGGTGGTTGTTTTCCAATACTGTATTACATTTTGCCATGATACATTACATACCTTGCGTAATTGATATTGTAACTCCAAATTTTTCCTGGAAGTGCTGTTCATCCAAGGAACCTAATGGAGCTGCAGCTGATAATATAAACTTTACATTCTTCATGTACTCAGGTCGAACATCGGGGTGTTGGATCATAAATAGTACTGTGGTGAATATGAATTAGGAATCAATAGCTTTTATAAGAAAAGATAAATAGTGATAGATGGCTTAATAATATGACGCTTTATGGCAAATAAAAAATATAAATATAAAGCATCTCTTGTTACTGAGCTAAATCGGTTAATATTCTGCGTAGGGCCCTAAGACTTAAATAGCCATGGGATGTTATATCTACATATTATCACAAGATCTTCACAAGGACAATCACCTCCAAAATACAGAAGTTGAACAACCCATAGTACATAGGACTCCGTTGTCTGGCCGAATCAAACCATATATTTATTGTGGTGGGTAGTATAGAGCGAGATCTTTACATATCCGAAAATAAAAAAGATCTAAATTGATTTTTTAGGGATAGGGTCTTAATACGCCTGATCAGCATTACGTATCTTAGGGACTATTAAATGGATTTGGTTGACATTTTGCACTATAACAAAGTTACCTAGGACGTAAAACTAGGCGCACGGCTAAAATGCAGTACCGGACTTGATTTTCTCTTCTTTCTTGTTTTTATCAAAATCAACACCTGTTGAGGTGAATATTGAAATCTTTGACTTTGTACATACAATAAAGCTAATTAATTAGCAAAACAGATTGACTGCGCCTCTTTTCCTTTTTTAGTCAAACATGTCAAACAATTTTACAAAATAATTCTTAAAATTGAACTAGTGTTTTGGGTGGGAATAAGTTTTTTATTTCCTTATATTTTAACAAGTACAAGGTCTGTGAGTTATACCCTGAATTTAAAATTATTTCGCAATAAAACGAGCAATACATGATATAACTGAAATGAAGAGCTAATGTTATGAACCTTATTGGTTTTCAGCAATTTTTAGTGATTTTACTCTACCAACTGGTGTTATACAACATGAGTGCTGTTATAAAAATATATGGGATTTAACATGCAAATGCACCAAATTTGACTTTTCAGAAAGATTCGAAATTCTGACCAAAATGTAGAAAAACCCAATATACAGATCCGGACTTTCAGCATAGTTACGTTTAAGTGCTCTCACCTCAACCCTACGTTAGTTTTAGTTACATACTGCACACGTTGTAGGTACATCAACCAACTGAATGCCGAGTCCGGTCCTGCATACTACGTTTTTGTGGAATTTTAACTTAGTTTCAAGTTAGCCTGAAGGGTACAATTTAGTAGAATTGCATATTAAATGCCGTTTTCACTTTAAAGCAAAATTTCAACGAAATAGATTCTTTAGTGCCTAAGATATGTGATATTAAAGATCTGACCTGTTTAGATACATCCGTAAAAACTGAATTTAGAACTTTATTTTCAGATGCGAAAAGACCTTGGTCCATACTACCTACCATTTTACTATGCCAGATTGTTATGGTTTTTCTTTTTAGTATACGACGGCCACCACAGTATGATGGACGAGGGTGACGTGTCTGATACATTAAAAAAATGACAGATAACATTATGCTCGCTGGTCGCTTTGGAGGGCTGGACGTCCTTTTGAGAGCGGGAATGCTTACCACAGAAGGGCTTGACTGGTTTTACGCGGTGACACCTTATAATTTCAATGATGGCTTCTCGCGATCTCGACATGCTACAGGACCATTCTCTATTGTCGCAACACACTGTACAGAAATGACGAGCGAGAAGAAAAAATAATTGAACTATCATCTGGAATATAGATAAACAAAATATACTGCAATTATCGTCATTGTACTTGACCAAAACGTTGAACCATAAATCGAAATTTAAACATATATGTATGTGATTTGATTTACCCAGACAATGGAGTCATGCCAACCTGAAAACCACATAATAAGTTTCAGGAGTTCCATTAACTCCTAGTACGGTCATGAGTATTACCTAAAGGTGGGGCAGCATATATTGCGGTTATAGCATGTTGTTTCAACACAGAAATGTACAATTCTGGATGAAACCTCGGTATGGTTACCACTTTAGTTCCGTAGGTCGCTACATTTAGCAGGTTCACCATGAAGCCATAAATGTGGAACATAGGCAGTACTGCTGGTATTACCTCTTGAAAATTACCTGAAATGAGACAGAAAATGCTACTTGAACTATGTGAGCAGAAGCGCAAATGAAAGCACAACAACTGGATTCCAGAATTCTTAGAACCATAAGTGCATCTTATTATGCTGGGTCCGTCAGAAAGAACGCATGTTTTCGAATGGGTACTACATCGAGTGGGCTGGTCCCATGTAGGTGGGGAAGGGCGTGTTGGATAGTGGGAGAAGTGGCGTTTCAGTTGGCAACATAGTTTGGAACGTTGAGCATCGTGTGTTCACTGTACGTCGGTACTTTCAAAATGGCGAGTCTGTCGTTCGAACGCAACGTGAGTTTCGCGTTCACCTTCGTGTCCCACGTCGTGGGACAGTACCAGACCGTAACACCATTTTGAGATGGGTGGAAGCATTTAACACAACAGGTAATGTAGATGAAGGAAAAACATGGCGAAACCGTACTGTTAGAACCCCCGAAAACGTAGAGAGAGTGAGAGTTGACACGGTGCAAAGCCCGAATCGTTCCGTCCGTTTGTGTTCCATCCTTACAAAATCCAAGTTTGTCAACAACTGTTGCCAGGGGATTGTGCACAACGTGTTAATTTTACACAGCTCATGATTGAACAGTTGGATAACAATGACATTATGTTGTTTATGAGTGAAGAAGCACATTTCTCTCCAGTGAGCCCCCAACAGTTGCATGAGCACCCCCTGCATACCCCGAAAGTTACAGTTTGGTGTGCAGTAGGCCCAACGATGATTATTAACTCTTTTTTTAGGATGATGGAGAAACAACTACTATGAATTCAGAGCGTTACATCCACATGCTAAACAATTTCTCAGGAACTTCGACGTCGACGTGTCCGTCTCAGAACAGTGTGATTTCAACAAGACTGGGCAACATCTCACACAGCTCGCACTTCGATGGAACTTGTTCGACAAATTCCCAGGACGTCTCATTTCACGTCATGGCGATATTCCATGGTCCCCTCGATCCCCGGACCTGTTAACGTGTCATTTTTATTTATGAGGCTACCTGAAACCAAAAGTTCACCAAAGCAAGCCTCGGACCTTCGTCGACTTGAAGGAGGAAATAAGAAGAGAAGTAACCCAAATTCCTGCAAGGATGCTGGCCGACGTAATGGGCTCATTTCGGGAGAGGCTTGATTCCTGCATTTCCCAAGAGCGCTATATGACCGACATAGTTTTTAGAACGTAAATTTTGTTTTACTCAAAAAGTGGCATGTATTTCTGAGTATTTTGATATAATAAAATATTTTTCCCATACTTATTTTGACTGTACTACTCATTTAAAAACCTTGCGTTCTTTCTGACGGACCCGTATAAGAGTGGATGAATCATGGAAGTACGGTGGCATTTTTTGTTTTATCTAACGATGACTTTTATCAATGAATCAGCAAGTAAGCATCAGTGACGTCACTCTTCTAGATGGCAAAATATTTACCGCTAAGGTAAACTATTATGGCAGCTGCGATAAATGTCAGGCGATTGGCTGATTCGTGTGCCTAATGCAGAAACCCGCCCAGGCCGCAAAATTTGGTATTACGGACCTAATACCCTTTCACCTTTCCTTGGTGATATGTTTGTATCCCTAACTCGGATGCGTCGGCTGTCTGTTCGTCCATAACCGAAATTATCCATGTTGGGATAGAGAAACACATCCCTCATCCAGTGAAAGTGGCTAAACCAAGGTCCAACGACTGGAAATCGTGCGGCACTGCCAGTTTTGTCAAAGATCGAGGCACACAGAACCTTCTTACAAAACCCCACTGTCGAGGACAGACAAAACAATGTCTAGTGCAGAAACAAATATACTAAGTGACATATAAATCCGAACACCCAGTTTAAATGGTTTTATTTTAATAAAATTTTGTATAAGTACTTAATGAAGCATAATAAGTAAATGATAAAAATTTCAAAATGAACTAACCCTGGTACGACCATCGTGCATGCCTAAACAAAATCGAGACTCATCACTAAAGACAATACTGTTCAGTTCCTGATCCCAGAGTGACCGTTGTCTGCACCACTCAAGGCGATTACGTCGGTGTTCTCGAGTTAAAGGGAGGACCCAGTGTGGCCGGTATGAAAACAAGCCAAAACTTCTCATTCGTCGGTAAACACTTCGCATGCCAATAGGTCTTCCGTGTTCTGCAAACCATTCATTTGCAATGGACCTGGTAGTGGAGAAACGGTCCCTTAAGGCCAATAATCTTAGGAGGCGATCTTTACGGTCTGTTGTTCTACGGCGGCGTCCAGTGCCCCTTGCTCTTTGCGTACGGCCTTCTCGAAGCCATGCCTGACAACACCTAACCACAGTGTCTACACTTTTTTGCACTCTAACTGCAATTGCCCGAAAAGAAAGTCCAGCTTCCCGAAGTCCCACTATACGGCCCCTATCAAACTCACTAAGTTGACGAAATCGTACAGGTCTCCGTACTCTAGGCATCGTAACCGATCGTAAAGGATGTCAAGAACCAAAATCCGCCAATGTTGATTCTTTACTGCGGCTGAAATATTCATTTTTAGAGCGTTAGTGAATTAAAAACAAGCACTATAAAAACCGGAATGTCCAACTGATAAGGCTGAAAATTTTTTCACTTGTTATTTACAGTAAGATAAATACATTCACCAACTTTTATTAAAATAAAACCATTTAAACTGGATGATCGGATTTATATGTCAGTTAGTATATAATGAAGTGGATCGCTATGCCAAAGACCAGTGCGATCAGTGTTTCCATAACGCTGAGATCAATTTACAGCCCTTCCCTATGTAACGAATCTCTACTAAACCGGCATGCTTTATATGAAGGACATTGGTTTATTAAAGTAATTCCTGTAGATTGTCAAAAACCGAGAAAAGGTATATGAGCAAATAGAGGTACGGAAGCAGTGTATCCCATAATAACCAGGATTATACTGCTACCATTCTCTAATATTTCTAAAACTGTTTAGATGTAAAAACGGAATGGGTAACGTTAAAATGGTAAAAAAAAAACCGTCCGACGACCACAGAGCTCAAAACGTAAGACGACAAGAGAGAAACAAAAGAAAAAAGAACAGACGAACGCACAGAGCACATAATAAGTAAGAACACACAGAGAGCAGATTACCAGCGTTGTCCGCGGTCAGCTCGGCTCCATGTTCCATATTACTATATACGAAACACTCCTACTGGCAAATAGTATAATGTACAAGTATGGCGAATACAAAAATTCAGAGGAGTTGAAAACTGTTCATATTCCTGGCAAATTCCTGACAAGCATGCATTCTTGGCAACGTTCCTGGAAAATGCCAGTAATAACTGACAAGACGAAAATACTGAGCACGATGTAAAAATTAGGCACAGGGCAATGTCGCAGCGCAATGGCAGTAGTCCTTTCTGGACGCTGGTCAAGCAGATTGAGGGAACTTCTCGAAGAGCAGTCTTCCACCGCTCACGTGCCAGGATGGAACGATTATAACGCTCACCCGAGTGCCATCGATTCAAAGGCTACACGATGCGGGAAGTAACCTTCTGGCATAAGACCGTAATACGGATGCTCTTGTCGCTCGACGTCCACAAGGCTTCTAGTCCGGATTGAAGATATGTGCAGCGGAGCTTGCTCCAGTTCTTTCGCGTTCTCTTCCAGATATCTTACGAATTCGGCACTTTCACATAAAACTGGAAACTGATATCCATCCTAAAAAGCATCTAAGACGCTTACAACTACCGGTCTATAGTTCTGCTTTCTGTTATAAGAATGGTCATCTAGAGGTGCATAAATTGGGAGATTCTGGAGTACCTTGGACTTCACGGCTTGGTTATCGACAGGGAGATTGGTTTTCGTCATCAGCGATCCACGTGGTCCTAGCTTACGTCAAGCAACTGTGGAGTAAGCTCGTCCACTCATATGGCGAGGCTTAAGTCATAGCTCTTGATGTCATGAGAGCTAAGTTCCATCCTATAGCCTCCCAAAGAAGCTTTGCAGATGGGTGGCCGACTTCCGCTCTGGCCCCAAAATAACCTGACAAGAGACTTGGACGTTATCACTGCTTAGGGACGTAACAATCTGGTGCAGTTTAATTCTTCCAAAACACAGTATTGTACCTTGACTAACAAGAATCGCCCTAGCACTCATCCGGATTTGATGGATGGCCGAGTTTTACCAAAGAGCCATTCATTTCATCTAGTCATGGAACACCTTTTGACAACAGCAGCAGCTGCTAGGCTTTTGTTCGGAGCTAAGAAGTACTGTTTTCCACATAACCTCTTCACTCTGAACAAGGCCCAGACAAGACCTACCTTCGAGTAGTGCCCACATGTTTGGGGTACTGCCATCCGAACTACATTATCCACACTCGATGCTGGAGGGCTGTTCGACTGATCGATGACTCTTTTCTAGCGGATTCTTTCGTACAGACGGGTCGTTGGTGATCTAGATTTCCTCTACCAATATGTCAACGGGCTTTGCTCGCGATATGCCTGCCAGACTGACGCACCTAACTTTGACCTCCCATTCTAACCGTATCGAAAATCGAACATACTAAATTTGCCGTTACGAGCGCTTCTTTGTCACTAGGGTATCGTCATTGTGAAACAACCTACCTGACAAGGCCTATTGCAGTTCTACTAATCTTAGGCAGTACAATAATCTTATTAACAGTTTTCTTAAGCTCTTCATAGCATGCGCTGGTATTTAGGTTTCTGCCTAAGCGACTGCTTCGTTGTAAAAAATTTATGAACCTACACTTAGAAGTTTGGTGAAATTACCATTGGCCGAAACGAACTTGTTGAAATCCTGGTGTGCACCTTGACACAGATTTGATACCAAATTGTTATGGGTCAGCTCCACGCCCTTTGGCAAACCTGTAGTTCCACTTGAGTATGGCAGAAATGCCATCCTGTCCAAGCCTTCATGATCAAAGTCTGGAATGTCTGTGTTTGTATCCACTAGCTCCCCGAAGTCGATGCATGAACGACACAGGTCATCGCACTCCTGAAAGGAATTTGAAGTACTATGCATTATTACCAAGGATATTTTAGTATGTCTAGTTACAAAAATAACTCCTATACAGCGGGCAGCAATTCTCTATGGTTGTAGTTATCACCGTTTATTTTTTTCTTTGGTAAGGCGAAGGATATACCTCTAAGGTTTTTCATATTCCTTTTTATATAACTCCACTGAGTGATCCCTATCAAATACTAAATGAATTGTTTATGTTATTACTTAGGCGAACGTTACATGGCCAGTATTTTCTGTGATCCGTCAGTATTTATCGTGGAATTTGATATTCATTGACCGTGTAGCCACGATGTCAGTAATTATTGATGTATAATAATACGTAGTAATTCACTGAGTAAATACTGATGGTGCGGACCTCAGTAAATACTGATCGTGTGACATTTGCCTAAAGATTATCGTGGTCCTATCACTAAGTCAAATGGCAAATGGCACTTTAACCTATTCACTAGCTCATTAACGTATGTCCTAGAAGTTTTGGCACAAAGTTTATTGGCTTTAATTTTAACAAATACAAAATAATACCAAGTTGCCTTTGGAACAAAAAAGTTTGTTTATTTACGTTACTGTCAGTTGATATTTTGTTATTTTGAACTTCTCGCTTTAAGATGATGTATAAATTGAAAATAAGAAAAAGTATCTACAAGTTGGTTGGGCGGGTACCCAAAGCTGAAATCTACCCCTACTGAGCGGGGCCGTGGCAAATGCTTGTTTCGGAAGTTGTTGTATCCAGTATGCAAATTCTTGCCGTTCAAGTGATTGTACACGCGTTGAGGAGTACCTCAGTGCCGATTGCCGGGTGGCGATACAAGTCCGCCAACGGGCCACTTTAGGTCTATTTGATATCACTAACACTTAAAAAGAAGGTGGTGGACAAGGACCAGTCGACTAGGTGGTACCACCCGCTAGCTTTTCCTAGGGTGTCTTATAAATGTCCGCATGTTTCAACACATAAGGTATGTAGTCGGTTATCTCCTAAAACAAAGAAATCAATGATGATGATCCCTCGACCATCAAGAACTCCGGACGTAAGCTCACTCCACTCTCGGAATGTCCGGGTGGACGGTGGGCTCGAGGAAACAACATCGAAGATAAAATTTGTTTTCTGAACATCTACGGGATTAACAGCAACATTGATGCTGTTCATCACTTCCTGCAATCCAATCGTCCCGACGTGCTTTTCTTGGCGGAGACAAAAATCTCAGAGTCTGCACCGATTAACCATCTTAACTTCCTAAACTGAGAGGTGTACTCCAATTTGAGAAATAACGGGGGAGTTGTGGCTTTGGTCCGCAGTAGTCTTTCCTGCCCCAGAGATGTTTCTTTGGAATCAGACCGGAAGAACATTCTGTGGCTTCGCCTCAAGTCCAAAACATCACCCAAATTTATTTATCGCTCTCCCTCAAACCATAACTGGGATGATCTACTCGAATACCTCGCCGTCCAGATCGACTTCCTGAACATCAATCACCCCGCTTCAGAGGTAGTTCTTCTCGGTGATTTCAATGCCCATAATGAGCTTTGGTTGAGCTCAAACAAGACCGATGCAGCAGGTCGTACAGTCGAAGCGTTCACGCTAATTCAAGGGCTGTCTCAACTGGTGACGAGCCCTACTTTTTGCCCCCTCGTCCCATCACACGCCAGTAGCCTGCTAGATCTCTTTCTGGCCACGCATCCTGTCCCTTACAGCACTGCTGTCCTGTCCCTCCTGGGTAACTCAGACCACGGTGTTGTGGAGGTTAGCGTCCTAGCGCTCATTCGGTTTCCATGGAAGGCCGAGTTCTGCCAAAGGGCCATTCATTTGGACTGGTCGGAGTACAGATCACCAAGGACCTGATCTGGCACGAACACATCTCGTCAATAGCTGCAGCTGCTGGGAAAATCTAGGCTATTTTTTTAGGGCTAATAAGTACTTTTCTCCGCATGACCTTCTCACTCTATACAAGGCCCAGATAAGGCCTAGCCTCGAGTATTCCTCACACGTTTGGGGTGCTGCCGCCCCGACTACATTGTCCATTCTCGATGCTGTCCAGAGGAGGGCGGTCCGACTGATCGATGAATCTTCTCTGACAGACAGTCTCGGGACCATTTCCCACCGGCGGGCCATCGGAGATCTAGCTCTTTTCTACCGCTACACCAACGGGCTTTGCTTCTCAGAGCTCTTCCTTGATGCCGGCGCTATGTGCCTGCCAGATAGACCCGCCTGACTTTGGCGTCCCATCCTAACCGTGTCGAACTTCGTACTTCCAGAACTGGCCGATACGACCGCTCCTTTGTCCCGAGAGTGTCAAGAGGCGTTTCGCAGTTCTACTAACCTTAGGCAGTTCAAAAATCGTATTAACAAAATTTCTTTGGGATCATCATAGCAGCCGCGGTGTTCCGGCATTTACGCTTCTGCCTGCGCGGATGCTTCGATATAAAAAAATAAAAAAATCTGCCGAATACTCCAGAATGAAAACCGAACCATTTAACGAACAATAGTGGAGTGCGAACAAGGAATACCATGTTTGAATCTCCCAAAAAGTGGAAGACCACGTGCATTTACTGCACATATGTCAGAGAGATTGGTCAGAAGAGCTAAAAATCAGGTGGGAATGTCATCAAGGCTCGTCAAAACAGATCTTCTAAGAGTACGATATCGTTGGAATTGAGAAGAAATGGACTTAAATATCGAAAGAGACTTAAGTGCCCCAAATGCTCCCAAGCGCAGCTCCTGCGTATACCAAGATGCTGTCATCAACTGAGGCGAGTATACTTTGCCAATGGGAAAATCATTTTAGTTGACGAAAACTATATCACTTTGAGTAACTCCGAAATGAAGGGTAACGACGGATTTTACGCGGACAATGTAGAGGAATGTCCTGACAACGTTAGATACAAACATGAACCGAAATTTGCAGATAAAATTCTTGTCTTGTGCACAATTCCTAACAGGGGTGTACCCCAACCATTTATGTGAAGAGTGAGGCATAAATCTTTGAATAGTCAGTGCTATATTGATAACTGCCTTTCCAAATTGCTTCAGTTTATCCACGAACGTCATGCTCATGACCATATCATGTTTTGGCCAGACCTGGCATCATGCCGTTACTAAAGAGATACCCAAAACTGGATTCGACAACACAATATACCTTTTGTTCCCAAAAATGATAATCTTCCAAAATTGTCGCAGGCTCGCCCAATAGAGGACTTTTGAGCTTTGCTGTCTAGGAAAGTTTATCATGGACGCTGGGAAGCGCAAGATGAAGAACAATTAAGTCGGCGAATTTACGAAAAATTGAGCGAAATTGATCTGAATTCCGTCCTGGGCCTCATGAGAAACATTCGAAGAAAGTTGCGCCTGGGAGAGCGGAATGGGACACTCCACATAATTCGACAGTATAGTTTAGTTAATTATTGAGTTGTAATTTATGGTAACTAGTTAGTGTTTAAGTAAATTTCTTCATTAAAAAAGAATTCGATATATGTATATTTTGTGTCAAAACTTTGGGACAAACGTTAGGCTTGATTTTTATGTATGATGAATAACATTGGAATAGATTACAGGGTGATTCAAAACCACGCGGTGACCCAAACATGCATTTTTTTTAAAAAAGCACTACATTTTATTGCAGATTTGGATACACTTTTTCAAACGAAGCAATATGATATAACATACTATAGGGTTCTATTCCAATGAGATATTTGACAACCTATTCAATAAATCACCGAGTTTTGAAAACTCGCACCTTCGCAACTGTTATAGCTAGAGTACTGAATTTTTACATGCCTCGAATCATTATCTGGGCCTTGTTCTGGAACCACTGGACGATGGCAATATTGCTATTACTTGCTGTTGCTAAACAAGGCATTGTAGAGTAATAGCTGTAAGGTGGAGTTGGATGTAATATGACATGTCAGCGTGGGAATTTTATTCTTAAAGACCGCTCGCTAGTGCGTTGCGCTTCTATTTCTACGTTATGAACAAAAAACAATACCTACTACATTTTTATACTCTAGTCATAACTTACCTTGTCCTTGATTACAATAATAGGTAAAGTTCTCTTGGCCATTTTGATAGCAGCTTCAGCAGTACTGGTTAAATTATTCTGGTTCAATGTTATCATTGCTTTAGCGTTAGAGTCCAAAATTTGTTTTGAGATTTCCTCTGGAATAAAGTCAGTTAGTGACGACTATAATTCATAACAAAAGGGATATGATTAGAAAAAGAGTAACATAAAATTTCTGTAAACATAACGTATCGGACAAAAGTTTTGAGTAAAAATGTTCACTGAAAGTAAACAAATAAAGGTAAACAATAAAGAAGGTATATACCTTGCATTACTTAGCCGTTTTATCACAAACCAGGGCTATTAGACTTGTAGGTTACGTCATCTAGGTATACATTGATAAATATGTAAACAGATCAACTACCCTAATAGCACACTTGGTTCCTGGAACGTCCTATTTAGATCCAATTTGGGTCGGTAGGTACCGTGCTTTTATTCTTTCCTTGGAACGTCCATTGACGTCGTTCCAGGAACGTTCCAGCTAGTTGGTTCCTTGATGACCTTGGCGACGGATGTTTGTGCTTTGTTTGCTCATCATTAATATACTTACTATTTTAAAAGGCTTTTACAGAAAATTAAATACAGTCACGATATCGATCAATACGGTTAAAACTCTACTGTGGTATATAACAGTTATGTTGTGTCACTTTTAGGTAATCAGGTTTATATTAAAATGCTTAGACAAGTAATATTCTGTCTTAAGGCCGCTGCCCTATGATGCATTTATAGTTTGTTGCCTCTGAGGACATCGAGTGAAGGTAGTTTGTGAACACCCAATTGCTCTTATTGTGACAACATAAAATAGATCTTCCGATAACACTGCAGCACGAGCTACCGTCTTTATTCAATATTATAGAAGTATGCTTTACTAATGAATTCTTGTTGCAAAATGCATTTATAAAACTGGTAATAACGTTAATGTAACTGTTTTTGATAATAGGTTCATTACAACTAAGGGTAAACCGAAAATGTCCGATCTCAGAGGCAAAGTTTGATAATAACTAAGTGGTTTGATTTGGACTTCATCTGAAAAGAAAATTCCTCTTCTCAATTTCGCAACTAAACGAAATATTTACAATGATAAGCGCAGAAGTGTGGCGGCCGCCATTTTTTTGCCGTTCTCCCTTTTTCTCCAAAAACGTGGGCTCAAAATACTTTGACTTTATTTTGACTGTTGAATTCCAGTGGACATTCCCTGTTCATAAGCAACAATAAAATATGTTAAACACTTCTAAGGATTTTAATAATACACATTGACATATTGGTAGTTTGTGAGTGACATGTTGTTGGTCGTCATGTACTTTTTATGAGTTGCACAATGTAGTATTTCCATTATTAGATGTATTTTACGTTTTGCGGTCATGTACTTTGAAAAAATGAAAAGTTTATTGGTCAAATCAAGAGAGGCTGATTAGCCACTTAAGAAATTACATTCTTCTCCATCCTCTCCCTACTGGAATATGGCTCGGGCAGGGCCACTTCCTTAGTTCCCGGATCGTGCTTCCAGGAAGCAATTTTTTTTACGATAAAATTGGTTCCCGGGATGCACCTGGAACGTCTTGCGACGTTAGGTGACCTACCGGAAACCTCTTCCAGGTTGCCAAGGTCGTTCCGGTAATCTCTTTGGAGCGTATTTGTGCTATTAGGGAAACTGGTCATGGGTGGAGTTTATTATAAGGTAACATGCTATGGAAAATACACACTACGCGAATCGATCTTGTCCACAGCTGGTACTCGTTCTTGCACACATGAACTGGGTAATAAGGGCTGTTTTTTTGATGGACTTTCTGGTGATACTCGAATTTTACCTTAAACTGTTGACATTGCTCAATAATTATATTTTATTATTTTATTATATTATATAAGATAAAGAATGCACACGTCGTATGGTAAAAAAATAACAGACTTTATTGCAGGAACGAAGAGTGGTTACAAGTATTGAACAAAATCTGTCTGTGCTCTGTGCCTCGATATAATTCTAATCTTTATAGGAAAAATAACAGAGCTGTATCAAAAAAAAGAAGTAAAAAGCAAATATTTCTTAATGGGCTTGCTTGCCATACAATTCAATTTGTTGGAATAATGGGCTTGTACCACATAGTTATGTTACCAACAGGATTCCATAACTTATATTATAAAGATCAACAAGCGGTAAAGGACAGATTTTTCAACCTGACAGTGTCAAGCATAGTTGCAGAGATGTTTTAGAGGCGGTGAGAAAACAAAACAAAAAACATTTGAATGCCTGTGCGCTTACATAAACAAGCGCTTACACTCAAAGGTAGATAACTAACGTGTATGTAGGAGGAAGATGGAGTTATGAAAGTGATACTGGCAGTTGTACTGTGACCTGCCAAATACTGTAAGAACAAAAAAAAACATTAATACCACATTATCGGTATCTTCTAACACCTTGTAATCTCATCAGGGATTATTCAGGATTTGACTGCATTGGAACTTTTCGTGTTAGTTACCAATCATCCAGTCATTTTTTATTCTCTCTGTAGATTATAACACCTCATTTTCTTACCAGCAGTGTAGATGGGATTCATTGTTGTGACTGCCAAACCCGCTTCCATGATTCCAAGGCAGCAAATGGGATATTCAGGAATATTTGGAAGGAAAATTGCAACCACATCGTCTTTTTGCAGCCTCAATTTTTTTACTATAGATTTGCTTAGGTTCCTTGCTTTCACTCGTACCTCTTCGTATGTGTATTTTCTGCCTGTCACCGAACATTCCTAGGATTGATTCACTAATAGAGCATTTTATACATTCACTCAAGCGTAACAGAATAAGATAAGGAGTATCTCCATAATATACAAGGTGTCGCAACCGTGCAAGGACGGAGTATTGCTCCCAAACAAAAATATATAAGAAGACTTATGAATATCAGAGTTGATTTTTCTTAAATGAAATGCCCACAATTTATTACACAATCAGATAGGCAGAACAGGAACCAGATAATACGAGGGATGTCTTTTGAGTTTTGCATATGGAAATAAAACAACACGGTAGGTAGTTTTAAATGACTTTATTGTTTTTAGAAGTATTCTCCACGAAGATTAATACACATCTGCATGCGCTCGAACCAATTTTTGAAGCACTTATTCCACTCGTTTGCTGGCAGATCCAAAACGGCATTTTTGAATGCGTCAACTGCTTCTTCTGGTGACTGGAACCTTTGACCACGCAGTCTGTTTTTAATTTTCGGGAAAGTAAAGAAATCGTTAGGACTTAGATCGGGACTATATGCAGGATGGTCCAATAATTCCACGTTTTCTTCCGTTAAATACTGCCTTGATCCTGGGGCTGTGTGCGAGCTTGTATTGTCTTGGTGGAGGATGGTTCTTCTTTCGGGGTTGATTTTGCGAAGCTCGGTGATGACTTTTGGCAAACAAATGGTGGTATACCAATCCGCAGTAACAGTTCTTTTCTCATTAAGAGCAATTGTTGTAATCTGACCCGCTTTTGACACAAATATCGCGACCATCTTTTTCGAAACACTTCGAGAACGGATGACTTTTGTTGGCTTTTCTTCACCTTGGAACACCCAAACAGCCGACTGTCGTTTATTTTCAGTAAATCAACGATTCATCACCACTAATAATGCTGTACACATTTTATGAGTTTCCAGAATTGAAGCGGTCAAACGTTTTTTGACACCAATTAACCCTGGCTGCTTTCTGCTCTTTAGTCAACAGGTGGGGTATAAAACGAGAAACTAATTTTCTTACTCCTAATTCTTCATGTAAAAGTTTTTGAATTAGGGTCTTTGAGATCTTCAAGGACGCCTCAATCTCGCGATATGTCACATGTCTATCTTCAATTATGAGTTCGCGCACAGCATCGACGTTTTCCTGGGTGACTGCCGTTTTTGGTGGACCCATCCTGGGATCGTCGCTAAGACTCACCCGTTCACGTTTAAATTCTCCATACCAACGGAAAATTGTCGACTGATCTGGCGCTTCGTTGCCGAAAACAGACAGTAACTCAGCAAGGCATTATTGTTGCGATAATTGTCTCTGAAAGTTGTAATAAATTATGGCGCCAAAATGTTCGCGGTTGAGTTCCATTTTTCTAATGACTTGGTGACACTTAAAAATTCAATATAGTGAGAACACTGCACGTATTGTTGTGAAACTTTGAATTTAAGTTTACTAAAGAGTGAGGTTAATATTCAGTACTGACGTTCGATCCGGGCGGCCTACTATGTTTCTATATGCAAAACTTAAAAGACATCCCTCGTATACTTATGGGTATTGGATATTTAGTTTTGGCGAATTAAAAAGCATTTTATATAAAAGACATTAAGTTTGATAGCGTTATCGCTATTTGCTTAAACAAAATGGATATTTTTTTATTCAAACGAGTCGCTTCGTTCAAGGATACTAATAAAGTAAAAGATCATTAACAGTATCACCAAGAAGACATCCATCACCTAATCCAATCAATGGCGCGGCGACTTAACGAATGTGTAGCAAGCAGAGGAGCTTCAATACATTAACAATAAGGTGGGATATCCTAGGTATTTTGCGAAATTTCGAGTTAAAATTATGATTACTTTCTATTTATCAGTAGAGCTGAAACTTGAAAAAGTATGCTCAAAATTACAGCACTCCTAGACGGTGTTTCATTTTCTATGTCATTTAGCATATACATTTTACTTTATGTCAAGTTAACCTTGTTAATTTCAAGGACCCTTTAAGGTTATCAAAAGTCTGTTGGCATGATAAAATTGTAGTCACTTGTAGTACAGATGCGTTATTTATCAAGTTTCACTTGAACAAGGTTTATGAAATATTATATTTAACTTTTGTGATACGCACTGATAGTCTATCAACACTATTTGACAGTAAAGTGACAAGCTTGCTTGCGGTAATAACATGGTCGCTAAACAGATGACGAAAAAAATACTAGAGGGTAAAATTGCTTTCAAAACATGCAGTTTATAGTTTTTATAGTGTCAGAATATGTGAGTCGTTTAAGCTCATATAGAACACAAAACATACTCGTAATGTGACAGAACTCTAGAATTTCTGCCTAATGGAGGTATAAGCCTCCTAAAGCTCGCTACTGGACATCGGTTTTTACTTCCCACGCCACTGGCAAGTAATGTTATCGAGAAAATTTTCAAAAATAAGATATTATGATTATTTGATGTTATATGACATATACACTACCGTTCAAAAGTATTTGACCACCTGCATATTTCCATTTAAAATCATAACACACAAAAAACACTATACAGTATGTATTTATTTTTTTTTATTTGCTGAAGACCTTCACCATGGAATTTCATCATTAGCCATAATAGAAATTTCTTTGCCTTTAGGATATTGTTATGTTTTTGTATAGGAATTCTTTCTCAGGATTTGTACCTAAACCCATAAAACAGTTTTACTTCAGTTATCTTGTCTCATTTGATAACCTAACCATGCTACAATACCTTATAGTTCTAGTTCAAGGTTGTTTTCGTTTACTTTTTTTGGATAAAATGGGTAAAACTAAAGAATATTCCGAGGAGATAAGAGGAGTTATTATTGGTCTTCTGAAGTCCGGCAACAGTACTCGAGAAATATCTAAACTTCAAAAGAAATTTAAGGCTCAAGGCACAACATCCAATAGCCGTTGTTCAGGGAGACCCAGAGTTACAACAATAGTGAAAAGTAAATGCAATAGACGCATGACTGCACTTGAAATAGCAGCCGACTTGAATTTGGGCCGTAGTAAACCTGTAAGTGTGACTACAGTTAAGAGATGTTAATCGAAGCTCGACTTAAGGGATACATAGCTCAGTATCGAAACCACTCCTCAGGGCTACTAACAAAAAAACAGACTGAATTGAGCCAAATAACATCAAAATTGGACAGTTGCTGACTGGAAGAAGGTCCTTTGGAGCGATGGATCGAAATTTGAAGTTTTTGGTTCCGAGAGAAGAGTATTTCTTCGCCGTCGGCCTAACGAGAGGACATTAGAATCATGAATCGTCGCTTCAGTCAAGCACGGTGGAAGATGGATAATCTGCAGATTGTTTCACAACTTATCCGACAAATTTTATCCACATATTATGCACTATTACGAAAGAAGTTGATTTCTAAAAAAAAAAATGTAATAAAAGTCCTACAGAAATCGATATAATAAAATAATTCAGTTTAACACTTCACTTACTTATAAAAGCTGCCAAATCCAAATACTGGTGATCATCCACCCGATCTGGCAATATGAATGGTCCAATTAGACGTTCAACGGCAATACCTGCCCACACGTTTAAAGAAAAACAATGTTGCAAGTGTGTCCGGACCGCTGCGTGAGGATTCTCAAAGGACCAAACGTGTGTATTTACGTAAATATTGGTTATCCGATTACGAATAAAAATAGCTTTATCGGTTGCCAAAATATCAGCAAACGGGCATTTCGAGCATTTTCTTGCAACAACCACTCAAAAAATGTTACTCTTAGGAGGTCGGGGTTATAAGTAGCAACAGCTGGACTCTCTGGACGTGAAAGGGTACAGTTGGGCCTCATGTAATATGCGCCACGCTGTTGCATGTGACACTTCTGGGACTTGTTGGGCTAACTGCCTTGTGCTTATTCCCGGATTTTCTTCACAATATCCAAAATTCTGTCGTCGGCATTTGAAACGCGTTGTGGGCGAACCTGGGTACAAATCTCCACCAGCACGTGCACGTAAAGCAATTGAACTAAATGTTTCGTGATGTGGTATGTGCCTATTCGGAAATCGGGGAGCATACAAACGAGAAGCCGCTCGCGAATTTTGCCCTGCTTCTCCGTACGCTAAAACAATGTCCACTAACTCCATTGCCATTTTTATGAATCAATGACTAAAACATAAACTCGCTAAGTACCGTCAGAACGGAGTACTTTAGCCCTACGGTGCTACTTAAGCCCAAACTGTTAAAACGTTTTCGCTTTCTGCCATGCCAGCTCATTGCGACGTATCGATGTAGTTCGCCTAGTAATCGATAGATGACTCTATAGTGATATTGGTAGCACATTATCTGGGATTCCCAGCGCATGCGTAGATTTGAGGTTAGGACAAGTATCTATCTGCAGAACACGTGAATTTATTGTGTGCAAACTTTCTCAAGAAACCAAGTTATCAGGTAAGTTGCAGTTCTTTTACGTGATCAAATGTATCAGATATACATCTGAGATGATGTTGGAATACGAAACAAACGGTAAAAGTAATTTTTATGGAGAATATATTCAAATTAATATATCAGTATATTTTGGCCCACGCTTTCGGGTATCTTTGGCACATGGGCCCATGATTTTTCATTATATTTTTACATAACCAGCTGTATTAAGCCATTCAATCGGAATAATGCATTACTTTTGACCTTTTAGATACACAAAGATGCCTACCATCTATAGAAGGAAAGCGGGAAATCGTCGTTACATTGACTACACTAAAGAGCAGTTGGAGCAATGTTTAAATGACGTGAGATCCAAGATACGGACTCAACGGGCTGCTGCAGCTAAGTATATAAACAAAAATGTGTTAGCAGCATGCGAGGCCAACAACATCAGTTTTATCTGTTTACCTGCCAATGCAACTCATATTCAGCCACTTGATGTGGCATATTTCAGACCATTGAAGATTAAATGGCGTCAAGTCTTGCTAGATTGGAAAAATACCCCAGAAGGAAGAAGACTTCCAACCGTGCCGAAGGATCAATTTCCTAGACTACTAAAAACTGCACTGGATAGCATGAAAGAAACCCAAAGTTATCTCGTAAACGGGTTCAGTAAAACTGGCATTTATCCTCAGAACGTAGAAGAACCTTTGAGTAGATTGCCAAGGCAAGACAGAATTGTAGATCTCAATCTAATTTCCGGCGGTTTTATGCAAAATCTGAAGCAATTACGGAGTAACGATAGCCCAAACCGAAAGAATCAAGGCAAGAAGAAAAAGCTAGATGTACCTGCTGGTCGATCCATTCGCTCAGAAGATATTTCAGACAGAGAACAAGCTAGTTCTTCAGGAGTAAGTAGATCAGATCCTAAGAAAAATGCAAAGTCCAGGAAGCGATTGATTAGTGAGGTTTCCTCTTCTGAATGCACTGACATAGACATAAGTTTGGTATCTTCTACTGAAGATCTCATTCTGGCACGAGATCAATCTGATGATGAAGAGGACAACTTACGCCTAGCACCGCTTACAAATCGCAATCCCAGAAGCAACTATGATGGAAATCTGGAGGCGCTTGGGCCATCAGCTCAGCTACCAGAGCCCATTCCTCCGGATTGCAACACAAGGTTTATTGAAGATCCGCTTTTAAGAAACTGTTCGAAGTCTGACGGTCAAAGTTGCAGTAATGAAGACGAAAATAAAGAAGGCTCTGCCAAATAAAATTAATCCAGATGATGTACAAAAAGCGGAAGAGGAATATCAAAATAGCGATGGTTACTGTTACATCAATGATCATGTATTGGTTAAGTGGAATTCAGGTGTTTAACCAGGGAAAATTATATCGATATCTGCAGAAGGAGCGCTAATAAGTTGTATGGAAAAAAGAAAGTTCTGGAGATGGCCTAACATAAAAAATGAGCAATTATACGTTTGGGAGTCAGTGATAACGAAGATTGGAGTACCAAAATTCGTAAAAAATGGACAATTTACTGTACCTGAACTTGTTAAATACGTTCTTTATAAATTAAGCCATAATTTAGTTGATTAATTTGAATATGTCTTGACAAGATTCTCAATTTTGAAGACTGATGAGCAACTCTAGACTGTTAAGTTCCTACCTCTTGTTTACTTCACTATTGTAATAACTGAGAGATGTTTTGTTTTTATTTTTAGTATTGAGGTACTTCTAGTAAATGTATTTCGTAATAAGAGAGAAGACTGCCTGATTTTGTTAAAATAAATAAGAAAAAGTCATGTACTGGAAATATTTTTAATTTTTGTGACTTTTTTTAGTTTTTTTGTGCAATAAAAAGTGCCTAACAATAATATAATATGTCTTTCTTTCATATTTGCCGATATATACTGTTTACTTTGCTCCACCATTAAATATCAATACGTTGTAATACTTAAAAACCAAGTGGGTCAAAGAAACCATCTCTTAAGTAAAACTTTGGCCCTAACTAAAAAAAAAATTATGTCTAACCCCGAAGTTATATCAGCGACTATAAATGTGCTATTTATATCCCTACTAAACATTTGTCTAAATAACACAAACATAGCACCTTTAAAACTGAAGTAATTGTAAGGGCAATAAAAAATATCATTATTTTGGGACAAAGTACCCCGACCTTGAGGTACTTTCTAATTTAACTTCACAAAAATCAACCGTTCTTCATTCAGAGCACCCACGATACAGACTTATTTACACGTTCGTATGAGTAATGAAAAAATTCCTGGTACTTTGTTTTCGTCAATTGTTTGGTACAACATCTGCTACAATAAATTATTAATGCGTTTTCTAATATCACGACGATTAACGCAAAATACAGATATTTATTTTTCAATTTATTATTGAAACTCAAGTTTATAACTTAATTTCTGTAGGACTTTTATTACATTTTTTTCAGAAATTAACTTCCTTCGTAACAGTGCATATGTGGTTAAAATTTGTCGGATAAGTTGTGAAACACCCTGTACCTATCCGTGTGAAAATTTCATACAAATCCGAGCAGCACCTTCCAAGCTATAAGCAGTCCAAAGATTAGCGAACAGAGCGACAGGCAGACAGATAGACCGACGGAAATGAGTGTTATGGTTTGGGTAGAGTATAACATCAAAAAACATAATATCTCATTTTCGATAACAACAATTTCTCACTAGTACAGCGAGGGGAAACGAAAAGAAAAATAATAACTTTTCATAATTATTATGTCTGGGCACTTAAGGAGATACTTATGCTAACTTACTGTGAAAGTGTATTTGTGGAACGGCTCGATTTTCGCATAAATATACTGATGAACAGGTATCCTGGGTACTTCCACATCCTCGCGATCGCTATACAGTATGTTCGGATGCGCTACTGCTTGTGACAGCTCTCTTAAGCCGCTCAGTGCTTGCTTGAGAACCCGCGTAGGTTTTCGACTAAGTATCACGCGCCAAAAGCCCATTTTTCGGGAAGGAATGGTACCAAGTCGTACTTGGCCTAAGGAGACGCGGGTCAGAATGAGAATACGATGACAGTTCGAAGGGTACTAGTGATACTGAACTTATTGCGGCAAGTATAGACGATTGCAATTTATCTCTCGTCGTACAGGTTCCATGGGTGGGTAGGTTACAAGGTTACAGTATGACAGTAAGTAATCTACAGGGCGTTTCTGTTTATTGTTGCATAACTTTAGAACTTTTAAAATTAATGCATAAAGTCTATATAAACATGGGTCGAAAAATGCGTGGCTTCCGAAATACAGGGTGTTTAAATTTACTTTCTAAAATAGTTTTTTTTAAATATTTCGAACAATATTTGATGTATAACAGTGAAAATTGGTATACAACGGTTTTTTGGTACGACAAAACGAACCATGGGCATAGTTTTACTGTAGCCGCTAGAGGGCGCTCTCTACTGTACCGGTAGTGTATTAAAATGACCGAAAATTTATTCTTAGTGCAATTTTTTGCTTTTTGAATAAAAAAACTGATTCTTCGCACTTTTCAACATAAAAAAGTTCTCTTGTGAATTTTCGTTATAGTTAGCTGTTTTTGAGATATTTTGATTTTTAAGGTTCGATGCATTTTTAATTATTTATGATAAAATAACTTTAAAAAGTCAGTATCTCGATAATTTTTAGAAGTAGCAAATATTTTTGAAACTGAAAGCAGAATAAGGTTAAACGTCAATTAGTTGACAGTTAGTTTTGTTGTCTGTTGAAAACCTCAAACGTTTTTTTGCAATTGTGAATGCACGAAATTTAGTTTCTTTTACCTGTTTTTTTTGTAAGTTTTATAAAAATGCCATTTTTATTCTCCAATGAAAAGTTAGCGGATATTCATTTTGTGTATGGCTTTGTAAATAGAATCGCAGCAGAAGCAGCCAGAGAATACGCACGAAGATTTCCAAACAGACGACATCTAACTCGCTCAGTATTTGTAAGAGTGCATCGCCAAATAATTGAAAATGGTTTTGGAAATCTCCAAAGGGATCAAGACATAAATGTACGTCAGCGCAGATTTACCCGTATGATTCTGCGTGAGTTTGATAGAGATCCGACCACAAGTGTTAGGAGAGTTTCTGGTGCCTTGGGAATTTCAGCAAGCCATGTTCACCGTGTTCTTAGAAATGACCATAGACGTTCTTACCATTTGCAACCTGTGCAAGTACTACAGCCAGGGGACGAAGAACGAAGAATCACATTTTGTCAGTGGATTCTTGATAGAACGGATAATAATAGGGAGTTTTTAAGTAAGTTTTATGAACCGATGAGTCATGCTTCACTAGACGTGGAGTGGTAAATTTTCCTAATCAACATATTTGGTCGCATGAAAATCCGCATGCAGTTCGGGAAATAAATTTTCAGCATGAATTTAGTGTGAACGTGTGGATTTGTATCTACCGTAATCCACTATTTGGACCCTACCTTTTGCCTGTAAGGTTAAATGCTGCGACCTTCTTGGAATTTTTAAAGGCTGAACATGCAAATATGTGGGATGCTGTTATGTTAGATTTAAGAAGATTGGCCTGGTTCCAGCTTGATGGTTGTCCAGCTCATTATTCGAGAATAGTTAGAAACTGGCTGGACGAAAATTATCCAGAAATATGGATCGGCCGTGGAGGACCAGTCGCCTGGCCTCCACGACCCCCTGACCTAAATCCATTAGATTTCTTTGTGTGGGGATTTCTAAAAGAAAACGTGTACCAGACTCCCGTAACCACAAGAGATATGCTAATAGACAGAATCAGGAATGCATGTGATGGAATAAGGCCTTATTTGAATAGTGCTATACCACGTTCGATCATTCGTAGATGTGAATTGTATATTGAACAATTGGGTTTACATTTCGAACAACTACTTTAGATTTTGTATGTTTGTCCTAACTATCCAATAGCATTTTAGTTGTAAATAATTAATTTAATTTGTTAAAAATAATATTGGAAAATTAAACAAATTAATATTCTGTTTTTTTGTGTTTATTTGGAGTTAGGAATTATTGCTGTGTTTAAAAACACAATCTAAACGATCATCTTAATTACTCGTAATGCCCAAATCGAAAATGTAAAAAAAACATTATTTTCCCATAAATAATTAAAAATGCATCGAACCTTAAAAATCGAAATATCTCAAAAACGGCTAACTATAACGAAAACTCACATGAAAGCTTTTTTATGTTGAAAAGTGCGAAGAATCAGTTTTTTTATTCAAATAGCAACAAATTGCACTAAGAAAATTTTTTCGGTCATTTTAATACACTACAGGTACAGTAGAGAGCGCCCTCTAGCGGATACAGTAAAACTATGCCCATGGTTCGTTTTGTCGTACCAAAAAACCCTTGCATACCGATTTTCAATGTTATGCATCAAATATTGCTCGAAATATTTAAAAAAAACTATTTTAGAAAGTAAATTTAAACACCCTGTATTTCGGAAGCCATGCATTTTTCGACCCATGTTTATATAGACTTTATGCATTAATTTTAAAAGTTCTATCGAATCTTAAAGTTATGCAAGAATAAACTGAAACACCCTGTATATTTGTGTGTTAAAAAATTCTCCCACCGAAAATATCTTTGCAATGTAAATTCTTGTAACTGTTGTAGTCAAGGTTGAAAAAACTATCAACTCTAGTACTGATCAGTCAGTTCCAACGATTTTGGATAGATTAGGAGTCAATTCTACAGGGTGTTTCACAACTTATCCGACAAATTTTAACCACATATGCACTGTTACGAAACAAGTTGATTTCTCAAAAAAAAATGTAATAAAAGTCCTACAGAAATTAAGTTATAAACCTGAGTTTCGATAATAAATTAAAAAATAAATATCTCTATTTTGCGTTCATCGCCGTGATATTAGAAAACGCATTAATAATTTATTGTAGTAAATGTACCAAAGAACTGGCGAAAACAAAATACCAGGATTTTTTTGTTTTTTCATACTGATCAGAACGTGTAAACAAGGTTTAACCTGTATCGTGGATGATCTGAATGAAGAACGGTCGATATTTGTTGTTAGTTATTTATTAATAAAAATGGCAGATATGAAACTAATGAGGAGCTGGTGGACATTGTTTTAGCGTACGGAGAAGAAGGGCAAAATTCACGAGCGGCTTCTCGTCTGAATCAGGTATACCAGATGCGCTGTATCGGAAGGGGTGGACTAGTTGCATATCCTCCACGGTTTCTCGATCTAAATCCTCTGGACTTCTTTTTATGGGGATACTTGAAAGCGAGATATACCGTACTCCAGTTCAGAATATTGAAGAATTGCGTGATCGATAATTTAAGCCTTCAGGCACAGCAGGAAGGAGGTGTATTTGAATTAGTGCGCCGAAATTGGCTTAGACGAGTCCAAGCTTGCTTTGCAGTCAATTTTGTCAATTTTGAACAGTTTTTATAAGTAAGTGAACTGTTAAACTGTATTATTTTATTATCTCGATTTCTGTAGGACTTTTAATACATTTTTTTGAGAAATCAACTTCTTTCGTAACAGTGCATATGTGGTTAAGATTTGTCGGATAAGTTGTGAAACATCCTGTATATGTCGACATTGCATTGTTTATCGCCAGTGCATACTTTTAAAAAATCAATACATCGTCTTACATTCTTTTCTCAAGACAGGATATTCAAGCAGTAATTCGTAATGGGTGTACCCACTTAGAGCAAGTAAGAAATACTGCCTGTATTGCGATGTGGATTGCTCAGTTATTGTTAATAACTGAATCAGGCAAATAAGTTAAAGTAAATATTCATTAACGGTACAGAATCTGAACAATTCTGCTTAATTCGTCATTTTGGAAGGTAAACAATACGATACATTCTCTCCATCAAACAGTAACAATGGTGGAATACCTGATGTTCTAAACAGTGAGACACCTTGCTTGAATTCTGTGCGCTTTTCATGAATGTTGTCGTGATCCGAGCAGATTCTTGGCTAAAAGCAAATACCAGATTTGTAAGTATTTTAATCAATTTGATATTTATGGTTCGTTTGGCGTACTTCCTGCAGTAAAATGAGATCGTAAAATTATTATATATAACTCGAAAGTACCTTTCATAAGAACATTTAGATTCAAAATTTTAGTCAATAAAGCTAATTATCAGTTGAAGTTTTTATATTTTGCATTTTTCAATGTGGTTGTTAGATATATAGTTCTGTTAACAACGCTTAGATTGGGACTGAGTGCTCAATGGAACAAAAAGTGAAATGAAATAAAGCAAAACTACCTCACAAATGTCCAGCCAACAGCTCAATGGTGTGGTACATATACTACACTATAATAATAACATAATAATAACTTATCGATAAAAAGATTTGCACTTCTTCAGTTTAAACTGCTTTTGCAATTCTCAGCAACTTTCACCATATCCGGTAACTGTCTCGCATACTACGATTGTTGGGAATATATTTATATATGTTCTCAGAAAAATACGAATGATTTTCTTCATAGAAACATTGTTTGTGGTTTTGTCAATTTCAGAAGTTACCCCTGCTATTCCCACTTGCTACGGCTATGACGTAATCACTTAATATTTTAATTACAACAATTACAAACAAATTACAAAAGACTGTACTGCGTGCAGAGATATACTCAATTTGCCTTTGCTTTGTAAACAATCAAGACATATATTTAGTCTTGATACGGGATTTTATAATGAATGCTTGCAGTTATAAAATTATAGTTTTTTGTTATGGAATTCGATAAATTTTATCTTCGACAATTTTTCGACTTTGAACAGTATCAGCTGTTTGTGTCATAACCAATCGAAGATTCTAAATAATCTTGTCACTATCTGTAAAAAGATAGCGTAGTTTTTTTAACTGGAACGTTTGAGGGGAAATTTTTCGAACAGGTCAAGGGGTGCAGTAGAAATACCACAAACATTGTTTTATTTCTGTTCGAATATTTTTTGTGATTCTGCTGCTACTGCGAATGCTACAAAAAAGCTGGAACTGATTTTTGAATGAATGAGAAGTAGAAGCCTGGTGGGTTCGCTTGACATGGGGTGAGGGTTGTAGGAGGTGTGTGATTACATTTTTTATCCTTGGTATCAGTGAAAGACGTTCTATTATTAAAAAGCTTCTGATCTCGGTAATACTAAG